AACGGAACAATTTCGAAATGGTTCGGAACAGAGTGACTGTATGTATTAGATGAAAATAATCTGATCATCTAGGTCTATTTGGTAGCGAAAAGCTCTTCAAAACTCTTCAAAAAGAATGAGTAAAAAGAATGAACCTCTTTTGATACAAAATATTGAAAGAAAAATGCTGTTTTGTGGAGATTCAAGGGCCAGAAGTTATGAAAGGGTAAATGTTCTTGTTTCGGAACCGAACCGAAATTCTTAATTTTTGTTCCGTGTTCCGTTCCGAGGGCACAATTCCACAGATCGAAACAAAATCGGGTATCTGTGACACCTCTAACAATCATGATTCCTTTTATTTTGAAATTCATATCAAAAATATCTATATGAATCTAGCTATACATTTTTTGAAACAGAGTCTAGTTAAGAATGTTAGATATTATTTCAGAACACCCCCTCATTTTGTTAACATGACGTGCTGCACTGAAATACTATTGATCTGGGCTACAGGAATTTACTTATTCAGTTTTTGCATCTTAGATCAATTAAATTCTAGCCTATGTTTAATAATCTTTCTAACATACATGCAAATCACTTACATACATGCAATTAAAAAATTCATAGAAATTAAATGCATATAAATTGACTTCTGTGTTATGTTTTGATACGACTGTCAATGAAAGAAATATTACACCCTGAACTATAGCAAGATGATATAGTTTCTATTTTATCCCTTTTTTTATTAGCATGATACAATACAAAGTCAAAGTAAACACAGCAAAGCATTAGTAAATATTTAGAGTCTAAATACACAGGCAGATTTTGAGCTTTACAATAGGAATCTTATGCCCTTTTTTAAACATGGGTCATTTTTAGGAGACAATGCTGACACATGCCAAAGAAATCAATGACAGACATAGACAGCTACATTTATATGTCATTTTAAAATAACATTTTGGTAAATAAGACATCTGGAAGACAGTATTTGTTTGAAAATGTGACAATTGTAGATCTGCATTTATTGTATGTTTCAATAAAAACAATACCCAATGACAATAAACACACTGGTAATGATCTAAACTAGCTCATAACTGAAAGTTTTATCAATTCATTTCTTTTTATTACATATTATGGATTCTAAATTCCTATTACGAAACCTATATCTACATCTGTGGGCCAATCTGACTGAAGCAAAGAATAATCATCAATTCAACTCATCTTTCTATTTTCAGGCAAGTATCAAAATGGATGTTGTGAATTCAGCATGTTCCATCGTGAATTATGTTCCAAAGAACTGATTTACAGCCTAGGTTTTACCTTACGAAAAAAAAGACAGTACAAAAACGTAAACATCAAAGTAGCTCCTTTAGATATCACAAGTAATATCCTGATTGCCATCGGAGATGTGGATGAGACGTCATTAAACATTTGCCTTTCATGGAACAATCAAGCAATGCTATACACCTACCTAGTAATATAAACCTTCTTCATAATGCAAACTGATTGCAAAATCCATTAATTAATATCTTATACAACAAACAAGGGAATTTTTCTCATCTGGACTCTGGAGACAGTAAGCTGATTGGAACTAAGGGATAGCGGATAATTACATCACCGAGCCATTATTTTTAGCGTGTTATTTACTGCATTACAGTTCATCGAATCTTCAATATTTATTTAAAAAAAATTATGGTAGTACAGTAAAACCTGTAACACATTTGGTACCTCAAAAAAATGAACCTCTATAAGTAGAACACCCCCCAAGTGGAACACTACGTCAGTTGGTCTTGGGACTCTAAAAGTGTTCTCCTAACAGAGGTATTCCTCTTCTAGAGATGTTCCACTTAACAGGTTTAACTGTATTTCTAAAAAGATAATTGATATGAGAACAGCAGATAATTATAAATTACAACTTTTCATTAGACTGCGATTAACAAGAATTGTCTAACAGTTGAATCATCTATATTAAAATAAAAGGTAAAAAAACATCATGACATTTGTGTAATTTTTAGGTAGATATATCATCATGCTATACTGTGTAAATGAGAGCTACATTCCATGCCTAAAATAATACAACTAAATCAGACTGGGCTATAATTGGTTACAACTGGAAACATTTTACTAGGAGATACAAAAAACACAGAGATATTTCAATGTAGAATGTAGCCAGCCTATTTAGTATGTGCCAGGCTTTTGACAACTCCTCCTAATTGTACCATTTTGATGATGTATTAGTTCTGCTATCATATGACATACTTATAGAATGATGTTATGCAAAATTACAGTGAATATTGCTTTATATTCATGGTCATAATGTAATATGGTTTGAATATGTCTATTACATGAAATGTGGTGCTGCATCTTCCTTCATTCAAAGGACTTCATTTATTACTCAATTCATGGAAAGAAGTGAAATACCCTTTGACCAAGGATGTATAAGGGCTTATAAGATCACCAGTCTTCAACCATTTTAACAACCAAATTCCAATAGTATTTTGTCCAGTGAGATAGTGCATCCTTCCCTTAGCTGTCTCTTCATTCCATAGAATACCAAGTGCTTCATGGCATTATACTAAATAATGTTTTAATAATGTTTTATCAAAGTAATTAATCAAATCTATTACTAGAAATAGTGTAAACCTAATTTAATCTGATTAAAGTAAATATAAAAAGCTCATCCCATCATGAGTGTGGACATATGAAAATAAAATAGCCAAATATTTGAAGGTGAAGGTTAATGATGGTTTGATGTTTTACTAATGAGTTATACTAGTAGATAAGACCTTGATGCAGCTGTTTAATGTATCTTGTATACATGTCTAAGAATTTTTTTGTCTAGGAATTCATAGTTTCATTTAAACCAACTTAACACATGTTTTCACACCAAAATACGCCAGATGCTTCAATAACAAATTAACCCACTAGAAACATCTCTACTAAGCCCCCTTATCCATACATCAAAATGCTCTCAAAGAGATGAGTACATCAATGGAATCTTCAGGAGATAAAACACAAATCCATTCCAGGAAAAACAGCTTTGATTTTCAATCAACTGACCTAAACAACAGATTGTGCATCTATGAGGAATATCCGGATATAATTCACTACGATTCCTGTTAAATAAAGAGGCTTAGATGCGAGCTTATGGCAATGCAAATTAATGTCTACTGAAGTCAAAGCCTTAAGTCTCTAAATATAAAGTATGAACCCTATATGTGAAAGCAGCATACACATTCTTCACCTAATATTCTCTTTACAAATATCATGTATAAGAATTGGAGATAATTGGGCATTATAGCATTGGATAGGGATAATTTAAGGCTTAATGAGAAGGAAACTGTAAATGCTTTAAGGCTGTCTTAAAAAGCTGAATTTTCATTACTGAGAATGTCGTAAAACTGAAATATTGATCTTACTGTAACAGTGGATCAATGGTTTTTTTTCTATCTCTATCCTAGCAGAGATGATTCATTCTCGTGTCTGATAATTACTTGATCAATGATGGAATATCACTGTAGCCTATACTTAACTGTATCTTGAAATTAAACCATGAAACCTAAACTGAATCACAATTTTTTTTATATAAACTTGAATAACAGCCCTTGACATATATGTCTATACAGTCTCATCCAGGAGATTCAACATTCAGTTCAAATTACTACTAAGTCATACTGTAAAGGATTCTAAATTAATAAAATGTTCACTTATTTTTAAATAAAAACCTAGATATATCAATATAGATATATCAATATAATTTATTTGCTCAATTGCTCTATGCCTGTCTGCATTCAGTCTCTGCTACTTGGATATGGAAATCGTGTAAACATTAATAATAGAAATATGTTCAAAGCGACCCGAGGGAAAATGAACTTGAGTAGATACCTGCCAATATCTAGGCCCTAACGCCCTCCAGCAAATTAAACGGTCCTATTTTAATCAAGATATGATAAATTTAAACGAAACAAATTATTGGCTTTGATAAAATATATAATTATGTTCTGGAATAACAGTACTGTAGTATCAAAGTCTAAAAGGCTTTTCTGTTGAGTCTTTTGACCAAATGACTATTGGCTATATTCAGGGATATTCTTCTGTATGTTTTGCACAGGTGCACAACCTAATTATCTACCAGTCTGAAGTACTTTGAAATACCCTGAAGTCAGTACATATATTCAAAAATTTTATTTATCCGTGTAAAAACAATACACAAACAGCTGTACATTTTTATTCAAAAGAACTGGTTCTAGTCTGTTAACATAAGCAAATGATCAGTTGGACAAATTCCAAACATTACTTAGTCAGCATGGGAAAAAATAAGAATACATGTTGCAAAACAATTTAGAATCAGTTCAAATATGACTCTTTCCTTTAAGCATTTATAACTTAATTTATAATATCAATGCAACAAGTAAAAAGTTTGTTTGAGCACTACCTTATGCAAACATCTCACATCATATAACTAACACCATGAAGAGATTTACATAACAGCTAAGAAAACACTAACCAACAAATGAAACATAGGAGTACCCCTCTAGATTATATTGAAATCAACACTAAATTATAAAACTGAAATGGTTAAATTATAAAACTGAAATGGTTACACGATATATTAGTATATGGCTAAAATATGGATATGGCTAAACATAACTAAGGCAAAATCCTCCAAAGTTTTAACTTTACAAAATTCATACATGCAAATATGTATGCTAATAAATGGCTACAGACTGATAAAACTCAAGGCAAACTTATCAAGGACCGTACTCATCCAGCCAAGTGTCTTGATAATTGTAAATAACATATACTGTAATTTTTAACAACAAAAACTTGAGATCGGTCATGCCAACCTCCGGTAATAAATAGATATCTTGACTTCCAGTTCCACATATAATTATCATAAATATCAATTTCTTCCTGCCACTATCAAGTACACCTACACAATAATGAATCTAACCTGTACATACATGAATTAGGAAGTTGGTTTTATTGTAAAGATCATGGGGACCAAATCTGTATGGGCCTACCTGTTTTCCTTCCCTGTGATGCCTGTGGAAGGGTGGTACAAAACTGTCTGATCTTGGATACCATCATTTGACATATCAACCACAGCCCTGGTGTTAAGATCAATTTCTGTAAATAATCAAATTAAGGGGGTTAACGGATAGCACATTTTGGACTATTCTGGCATAATGAGTAATAAACTGGATGTTATAAAAAAAAAAATTTAAATTATTTGGCTCACCTCTCCTGTTGAAGGGACGAACCCTCACGGCAACTTTCACCTTGTCAGCGCACATTTTTGTATGAATCCGAGGCCTATATTCCTTGAAAGTTGTCTGATATGTACTTCAATATCTACACTTAAATTCCCACTATCCAGTTATATTATCCTTACATTATATCCATTGTATTTACATTTATAAAATAGATCGTGTGTTCACTTCGTCATTTCTGGTTTTACAAACATCCGGGCTTTTTTGAGAAAATGCGCCTCGTTTTGAATGTTACCGGAAGTGATAATTTTTTCAAATATTTCACAAATAAGCGCTAAAAGTCAATTAAAATGTTGAGTTAACCATCATTAACAAAAGTAACATAGGCGAATGAACTATAATAATATTGTCCATTGCTTTAGCACAAAAATATGAAGATATAGCCATGACAAATAAGCCATTTAGGATAAAAATCATCAGCATGGGAAATGCTGAAGTTGGAAAGGTTTGTTTTGATTTTTGAAAATTTAATTTCACATCCGTTCCTCAGGTATAGAAGGGTATAAACGCTGTATACATTGACCAACATCTTAGGTTTTACTCCAGTCTGAACACCACATCAGTAATGCCCAAAATTTAATGATTATGTATCCACATTTGTCCAGTGCCTACTGCCTGGTATTGCTAATGTGTGTACAGCAAAATTTTAAATGGTTGGAACTAGGCCTACTTTGAATCTAAAAAATAAGCAATTAAAGGATCATATTGAAACAGAATACGTAAAAATAGAAACATTTATACATGTCCTAACTTTTTTATATTTCAGTTCGTTTTTTAGTTTATAGCTATCATTATATTTTCGAAAACATGACTGAAACCATAGATTCGGCCAAATTCTTTGATAGTAGGATCAGGGGCAGTGAATTTGTACGATCCGTGATCAGATCTGGATAAATTTCGTCATGGTGATGCATTGTGGAATTAATCCAAGAATTAATCCAAAAATCGGTGAATTCGTACAATCCTGGGATTAAGAAAAATCTCAATCCACCTCTTGAGGTAGATTACTTTTTGGATAAATTTTATCCGAATTCCAATGCAAATTGGATAAATCTTGGGGATTCCCCTCATAATCTTGGATCGTACGAATTCACCAAATATTTATCGGATTAGTAATCCAAGATTTATCCAAAAATTTATCCAGATTGGATTGGGGATCATACAAATTCACAGCCTCTGAAGCTCAAAGAATAATTCACAAGGTATGACACCTAAGAAAATTTCAAATTTAAAATGACGATTGTGCAGCCAATTCAGAAAAATATGAGACAAATCATACCTCATTCGAAGCGTCTTGTTATTCTTTACCTTTCTGATCACTAATGAATGGTATTCAAGCAATCCTGTGTTGATAAGAGGCCAAAATAGTGATATTATATCGCCGGGCTCTCGTTTGTCCAAATTTGAATGGTGCTATCGTGATTCCAGAAATATGACGTCAGAATTACAATGATATTTGGACACACAATAGCCCGGATCAAGTGAAAAATATTTGTCGTACCGTATTAAAAGTCAAATTACTACATGTCCATAGGTTATTTACTCGAAACTAATCAAGTAGAAATAGAAAGATGAAGATCTCAGCTATAAATTAAGTGTAAAATCTGTCACGGGGAAGCAGATACCATTTTGTATAAGGACTTTTGAAAGGTGGTCACCTTTTTTTGAAATTTTCCAATTCCTACTACAAAACGATCTGGCCAACATCTGTGGCTGAAACTCCCTAAATTACAAAAGGCCACAGCTTTGCTGCACATTATACATAACTATCTGAAATATACAAAAGTTAGGACTTGTACATATGTTTCCATTTTTTCATATACTGTTTCAATATTTTCATTTGATTGCTTATTTTTTTAAATTCAAAGTAGTTCCAAATATTTAAAATTTTACTGTAGCCTGGTTTATCAAATTGTGACAATGAATATGATAAATGCAGAATATCAACATGCAAAATAGTTTTTCGATTCTTAACAGTTAATGGTGCTTTAAATTGACCATTCATTGTTAGATTGCAAAATGTTACCACATTACCATGGTTGATTACAGTCACACATGTTTCATTTGGCTCAAGAAATATTTAAATATCAACCAGTCATTTTATATAGGAATATTATTTCTATATTTTGCAGAGTTGCATCATCAAAAGATACTGTGAGAAGAGATTTGTAAACAAATACCTTGCAACTATAGGTATAGATTATGGTGTAACCAAGTAAGTTCAAAACGAATATATAAAAAGGCATTGACATGCAAAATTTCACTACCTGCCATTTGTTACAGACATTGAATGCTTACACCAACTGCCGAATATCAACTGCCGACTGCCATTCTCAAAAAAAATTACCTATCTGTAAACATAGATAATTATAAGAGATCAGAAACTCCCATCATTGGTCATATTGGTTCAGTTCCCATGGTCTATTTAGTTCAGAAAAATTCTGGTAGGAGGACAACAAAATTACTAGTTCTGTTGTATCAATGACTGTCTCAGTGAAGGTACGTTGAAAAATATTTTATTAAAATCGCACATTATCTATATCGAGATTAAAGTGGCAGCACAGGAGATGAAGGATTAATGACGATGTTTGGCAGTCTGTAGTTAGTAATAGGTGGTAACAAATGGCAAGTGGTAACATATTGCATGTTAATACCTTGTTATATTAACATACTGCTATGTTCTTTATCCCAAGCTTTGTATCTGGAAAAATCTTTCAAGTATAAAGATAGATCTAACTAAAGATGTATCAGATAATGTAACCACCAAAAAGTGATGATTATTATGTCAACACCATTGTGATGACATATTGTAATAGTCTCCAACTTTTTTATGGATGATGTTTAGCAGTAGGTGTTTGGCACTCGGTGTCTGTAACAAATGGCAGGGGCTGACATTTTGCATACTAATGCCTTGTTTTATTTTCAGACTTGCATTATGTGTTAGTATTTTGGTGTCTCCACATGACATCTGTAACAAACTGTTTTAAATTCCAGTCAGGTTGTGATATTTGGCTAGATGTTAATGTAATGTTAGAAATTGTTGTTGATTGTGCTCAGAAATTGAGGAATCTTATGATACATATTAGTATTATAAATCATTTCTATTTTAAAATTATTAATAAAAGTTGAAAATGTCATTCAATGAATTAAATTGTATCATTATATGTCACCTTCATTGGGTGACGACAGACAAAACAATTTTCAGAAAAATATTATGGAATAAATTAATTAATGTTATTGATGGTTGCGATGAAATATCCATTTTTCCTCGAGAAATTATGATATTGGCCTAGAAAAATATCATATTGACACTCAGGCTGTCACCCTCGGTCAATATGATATTTTCCTTGGACAATATCATATTTTCCCTCGAAATAAAGTTCATATTACATCCCTCCCATTAAATAACCTCTATATCTCTATATATTTTTGTTTTTTCACCATTAGAAGTGGAGACATATTTTTATAGTCTCCAAAGGTTTGCGGATGGTGTTCAATAGTTGGCATTTGGCAGTTGGTGTTCGGCTTCTGTAACAAATGGCATTTTGTGGTCGGCATCTATAAAAAATGTCAGGTGGTGACATATTGCATGTTAATGCCTTGTTTTTCCTATACTTGAACTAAAACATGACACATGTATCAGCTAATTCAGATGATATATTTTTCCTTTCAGAGTGAAGGTGAACGAAAGAGATGTAAAAGTGAATATATTTGATATGGCAGGTCATCCAATTTTCTATGAGGTACAGAAATTATATATATTATCACATGAAAATCACAAATGAACCCAAACCCCCAAAAGTTGCACTATATTTTAACCAAAAGAGCTTTGAATATCGCACAGAGGATTGTTTCTTTCAATACATGGTCTTAACAGTTTTGCAGCAAAGAATACTGTAATTTACAAGATGTCAGTCCTATTAATGGTATTTAAATAGGTTAATTTTTTTATTTGCTTGATATACTAAAAAAATGATTTCATAAGTTGTGGAGGACTGAGGCTATAAGTATTATTAGCCCCCTATTAATGATATAATATGAACATACTCAATATTTTGAAAACAGTGGGAAATCACATCACATTTTCATGTTTTGTTAGTATGAAGCAAAACGCTTTACAGAACTACCTCAGGCACTTATGGTGGGATTAAGTGTCTTTAAGTGAGTCTGGAAAAACTTTTAATGAGTCACATGGCAGGATTATATACCTTGACACATTGAATGAGCCTGGAAATATCCTGAATCTTTTGTCAAGAAGTCGAATTATGACAACAGATGTTTATTAAACTGTTAAAATTGAGCTTGTCACATGAATTATGTCAGGGGTGTAGACAGGATTTAAAATTTGGCTAGCCTCATATGAATTAAAAAGCAAATTATTACGGTACTTATTTTTACAGTTTTAATGGAGGCAATGGAAAAACCATCTTAATCAATATTTTCAGCCAAATTTTGGTGAAGGCTCGTGCCTAGCTACCGTCGCGCCATGTATGTTGACCTATAAAAGAGATTGGATATATGTAGAGACATAGATGAGATCTTTGAATATTGAGTCAGCTTTCTCATTGGATTGCTGTCTCTCTTTCTGACAAGGATCAGTGTCACTCAGTTTTTCCAGTCCCTTTTAAAGGCCCTTGCTGTTGTTACATGGACTCACTCAAAAATAATGACAACAATAGGTAGGACATATAGTGCATACCCGTAGCCTGGAAGGGTTCGGGGGGTTAGGGCAAACTCCCCCCCCCTGGCCAAAATTTCTTTCAAAATCATGCAGTTTTTCAACATTCTGACTATTTTTTGAGTGATTTTTGGCCAAATTTGCCGAAGTGAACCCCCCCTAAAATATCTTGGAAAAGTGAACCCCCCTTGGAAAATTCTGGCTACGGGCCTGTAGTGCACTGAATTTTTCTGGGAGTGACATCCAATACGTCATTCATGATGTCTCAAAATGCACAATTAAACAAAGCAAAGTAGATTACACTTTGTCGAAGATTGAGTTTTGTCTGAATGGATACTTGGTTTGCACCTCTATAAAACACTGGGGTATTATAGATTTGAAATCTTGCATCTTCATCTTCGGTTTCTCTTTGATCCAACTTCATGGACTTGTTTTATTTATTTTATTTTTTTAAATTTTTTATTTCCATCCAACCTGTTTTATTTTGTGGAAATCAATAGTCTTGCATTGAAAGGCCCTTTAAAAGTACTGTTTGTGACTTAATCAGGCTAACTGAAGCGTAACAAGTCAAATTATTCCCTAAATCCATCAATATCAACTAAATCCCATCGTTTAATTAAAGCTGTCAAGTCTGTCATTAAAGTATCATCCAAATACAGTTATTTTATTAGGATCTAAATCAAAAATTGAATGGTGGGGTTTGTGACAATATTTGAAAAGGATACATTAAATAGTTCTTAAAGAAGGTTTTTGAGGGGTTTTGTGAACATTGCCAAAATAGTGCTAATGCTTAAAGCAAGGGGTATTGTCACACTTTGTTTACAGATTTAGGACGAGACCCTTCACTGAAGAGCTAAGATGATTAGAATACCAATGATCAATTTTACATGTAGAATGTGATCCCTGGATATTTCATAGGACTATATACTGACAGCAAAATCCCTCTGCTATTACGTCATTGTTTCATGTGATGTTTAGTTACATTAAATGAGAGAAATAGATTGACAATTGAGACAAATCAGTCCATATAATCAATAAAATGCTATTTACATGGGTTATTAGTAACTTATTACCCAACTTTTAAGCCAGATGTGCCCTTCATTGGGTGTAGATGGCTCAATTCTTCCTCCCACTAGACCACCTTTGAATGATGTAATGCATGTCTACAGGATAACAATCTTGATAAATAATGAGTTATTGCCTTTTAATTTACCCCCAAATACCAAAAAGCTCACTTGTATTAAAAGCGAACCGAGTTGTTATTGGAACACTTTTCAGAGTCTGAAGACCAACCAACTTATTTTAAAATGAACCTCTATAAGTGGAACACCTCCATGTGAAACACTTTTTAGAGGTACCAAAGGTGTTCCACTTAAGTTTTACTGTATTAATGATTTTGGCGCATATGCCTAATAACTTAATAGTTCCATAGAAATTATTAGCATATGTTTTTGAGTTGAGGATTTGAGTAAATAGTACCATCATATATTTTGAGAATGGACAATTATGAGTAGTGATCCAGACATTATTGATAAAATGTTATCATGAAAAATCAATGGCGATTTCATCAAATTTTGACTCATGGGGTTGGATGTATTTCATTCTTAGCTACTTTGTCCGAGGGGTTATTTCTAGAAGTCTGGCATGTTTATTTTAAAGTAGAGAAAGGGAAAAACAATATTTTTTGAATCCCTCCAGATAAGACAGCCATGGAGTAGAAGAACTTTGTGTTATTATATGCTACACTTGAATATCTTCACATCCTCCGAAAACAGGGCCCAGACAGACAGGGCTCCAGTCATCATCATTCATTCTTCCCCTTTCTTCTTGTATTATGAAAAAAGGAGGTATAAGTTCTGGAGGCCTGTGTTTGGAGGATGATATCTTCATAACATCAATTCATATGCAAAACAGTTTCCAAGTTATATTGTTATTGAATATAACTTTTAAAATGTAGTTGAATATAACTTTTGATTTATTCATCAAATATAACTTTTAACATGTGATTTAATACAACTTTTAACATATTATTGAATATGACTTTTACCATCGATTGAATACAGCTTTTAATTTATTGATTAAATATAACTTTTATTAACATGTTGTTTAATATAGCTTTTAACTTATTGAATATAACTTTTAAAATTGACTGAATACAACTTTTGACATATTATTGAGCCTTCTTCAATGCTGCCACCTATTAACAGTATTTTTTCTTCCACTATGTTCATATTCACAACTTTTTATATTGGTGAACTTTATCTAATATCTTGAAATAATTTCAGGTGCGAAATGAGTTCTATACGGATACCCAGGGTGCAATCTTAGTGTTTGATGTTGGCAACACAGGGAGCTTTGAATCCCTCGAGTTATGGTTGAACGAGATGAAGTCAAATCTCACAAACCCTGCAGAAATGGAAAACATCAACTTTGTAGTATGTGCAAATAAGGTGTGTTTTAATGCTCTTTCTCAAATTGCTATATTGCCATCTTCTTATGCTGGTGATTGTTCAATTTTATATCTGAGTGGGTTGGTGGGCACATGAATCTCATCATCAAATCGCTTGAATTTTTCTCTAAAAAGTCTTTATAATGCTAGAACATTATTTCCATCAAACTTTTATCTATATCTATTATTCTGGAAAGAAGGATAGTCCTGTATGATCTTTTTATATATTATTTTCATGTCATATTAAAGGGGGGGGGCGTTGTCAATATGTTTCAAATGGGACATAGAATATATGTATTCTTTCTGACAATGTTCCAAATATACATGGCGCTGCTCAACCCTCTGTGAATCAAGTCTCCTCTTTGATCTCTTTTTGGTGTAGGCTTGATACAAGACCAAGTTCATATTGTCCATCCAATTTCATTTATATTTGACAGGCCTGTGCACTATGTGTATTGAACATCTGCCTGAATGCTAATTAAATCCTCAAAATAACTCCTTATTTCAAAGTAGCTGTCATTTTTGCTAACATTGTATAAGCCACAAGTTTATTTGACTTTGTTCCTGCCCAACAGGATTAGGCCTATGTCATTTTTCATTTTTTAATTGTGACTGAACATAACCTATTACTTTATATAACCTTTATCAGATTTAGTTCAAAAGACATAAGCATTATGTTTATCGTGAGGTGGGACTTTCTACACCATGTAGCATTGTTCCTCATCTCGTATCCTGTTGGTCATATAGTTTTGATATTTCATTGTTTTCCTTGGTGATTAGATTTTATGTAAGACTCCATACACTCTAGAGTGGTGTATTATATAACATTGCTCATCAAAGCTTTGACAAAAACTCATAAACTTCTTATCAAAAGTTATCATCAATATGACAAATTAATAGAACCTTTTTTCTTTTGATCCCATTTTATTTCAATACATTTTTTGTTCTTGGTTTGAGTTTTTTGTCACCACAACTGAAGTGATGACATATTGTTATAACTTTTTTGGTTGATGTTTGACACTTGGTGTTTGGCATTCAGCATCTGTAACAAATGGCAGGTGGTGATATTTTGCATGTTAATGCCTTGTTCTCATTATTTAACATGCTGATAGAATATGAAAATTATAATGCTTTTAAGCACAAAAAATAGTACAGTAACATAATGGATTCTCAAGCAAGTCCATTTAAACATGTATCAATTTAAAACTAAACATGTTAAATATAAAAATGTTGATGTTCAAGACTGATAAGAAGAGGCAAGTGGATGAGGCAGATGGGAGACTCTGGGCAGACAGCAAGGGCTTTAAATACTTTGAGACTTCGGCACAGAATGGCGATGGCGTACAGGAGATGTTTCAGGTAGGTACAGGCCACTTCTAACAGAGATTTATTTCCTTGTTTATAGAATTCAGTAATCTCCCCAGCATCAGCACCCACTTGAGATTTTGAAAAGAGGCTTGCGCCCACCTGAAAATCCATTTGCACCCACTTGAAAATGAGAAGAATCATGAAAAATAGGCATATTTTGACCAATCGTGGTCTGAATTGTGAAAATGAGAATTTTGGATCCATTTGAGAAAAAATCCTGTGGAAATCACTAGTCTAGATATTATACATCTACCTTTCGAATCACAGGAAATTGTCTCGAGTCATTTTTTTGGTCCTGTATTGGGGTTCTTTGGGCATCCTCACACTCAGAACATCATTATACCTCAAGCTCTATAATTTCTTACTGAAAAATAGGTGAATTCAAAAGTTGATTTTCTACATGATCCTAATCCAAAAGCAGACCATACTTTTTTCAGTGAGAAGGACGCCCAAAAAAAACCATAGGACCAAAAAGGGACTTGATACAACTTCCTGTATTTTGAATGTAACCTTGAACCATTTACTTCTCTAAACATGCCTTAAAATATACTGGATGGGATTAAATTGACCCCATACTAATATGAATTTTTGGGGATTTATGTATTTAATAATACTGTAGAGTAGATTTTTATCATTCTTGCTAAATCATAATGCCTATGCAACATTGATCCGTTCAAGAAGTGTTCCTCAGTTCCATGAGAGTTTTCTAAATATTTAATGGATTTATGTTGACATCTCTGGGCAGATTCAGGTTCAAAACTGAAGGAGTGAAACATTTTCTTGTAGTTCATCCAAATAATTAAATGGGGATCTCCTAATTCCGTAGCTAACTTGTTTGTCCAATGAAGCATTATTCTGATTATGTCACCATTGGTTGTGAGTTTAGGTCTATATTTAATTGTACAAATTGTGAAAACAGTCATAATATTTATTTATTTTTTCATTTCTACTAGGGATATAGAGATAAGTACATTATAAAGTACATTACAAAGCCCACACTATAAGTTATTGAATGAATGATGGCACAAGATGAAGTCGAGTGCCAATACAGAATATCGATTAGCAATACTATAAGTTATTGAATGGTTTGAAGTGCAATACAGGATATTATCTGCTCGAGAAATTCCGTATTGAAATGAGACGAAGTCTCATATATCGAGAAGTTTTTATCGTGTGATCCTCTGTATTGCTACTCAGATTGTCCCCTCCGTATCAATATTTTTAGCTCACATGTTGAGCTTTTGCAATCACTCACTTGTCTGTATTGCAACGGAGATGATCAACGGGACAATCTCAGTAGCAATACAAATTGGTACAGCACAAGAACTGACCAATCAGAGGGCTTCATTTTACAGATCATACGATAATATAAGTTATTGAACGATTTGAAGTGCAATACAGGGTATATTCTGTCTCGATATTCTGTATTGGCACTCGACTTCATCTCGTTCCAATACAGAATTTCTCGAGCAGAATATATCCTGTATTGCACTGTTCTCTCACCGTGACATTATTATATCCATGGTTACAACAATTGATTTACGAATTGTAACTTAAGGAAGTTTCAGTTAATGACCCCCTGATGATGAATCAAGGTTTTTGAAGTTTTTTATCAACAAATTAAAATATATCTAAACTTTACGTCTTCATTTCTGACTGAATCTAGTGGAAAACTATGATTTTGAATAAGCTAGATAGGGGTAAAATAATGTTGTAATAGGTATATCCAGTCATTAATGCCTGCTACCATCTAGCCAAGCCAACATGACAAACACCAGGAAATTGATCAAAATTTAATATTCTGTAATTCAGCACTGTCCACGCTCCTCGAAAATGGAATTTTAGGAGGAGTGAATATGTATGTGCTTATGTCTTCTTAACACGAACTTGGCTGAAAATGCCTTAGAGCATATGTTACATTTATAAGGTTTCTCACCAGTATGGGACCGTTTATGATCAGAGAATTCTCCTTGTGTGACATAGGCTTTCGAACATAGCTCACATTTGAACGGTCTCTCTTCAGTATGGACTCGCTTATGATGCATTTTTAGAGTATGCCTATGGGTAAAGTCTCTAGAACAAACCTCACATGTATATCTTTTTTCTCCTGTGTGAATGAGATTGTGAGCTTTAAGATTAGCATTCTGAGAGAATGTTTTTGAACAGACCAAACATTTATATGGCTTTTCTCCAGTATGAATTCTGATATGTGTAATAACATCAAAACTACGAGCAAATGATTTAAGACAAACTTTACATTTGAATTTCTTTTCTCCAGTATGAGTGGTTCTGTGTGAGTTACGTGCAGAACTATCTGTAAATGTTTTTGAACAGAAATCACATTTAAATGGTTTTTCTCCAGTATGGATTCGGCTATGTACTTTCAAGTTTGATTTATTGGAAAGTATTTTTAAGCATACCTTGCATTTTATTTTTGCATTTCCAGTGTGTCTCATACTATGTGTAGTTAGGCTGGATTTATGTTTGAATGATATGTAGCACACCTTACATTCAAATGGTCGTTCACTACTGTGAATTCTTTTGTGTTTTGACAGATCCCCATTGGTAGAAAATGCTTTAAAACAAATACTACATTTGTGTGACTTCTCTCCAGTATGGATTAAGGTATGACAAGCAAGGGAAGAAAATACAGCAAACATTTTACCACATCTATTACATTTATAGGGTCTTTCTCCGGTATGAATTCTATTATGTACATTAAGTGTACTCCTAGTACGAAATGCCTTAAGACATACTTTACATTTAAATCTTTTCTCTCCAATGTGACTTTGCATATGCACACTTAGATCTCTCTTGAATGGAAATTTCTTGGAACAGGTATTACATTTAAAAGGTTTCTCGTTAGTATGCCTTTCGACATGTCTGACAAGGTCTTGTTTTACTTTAAATCGTTTGGAACAAATCTGACATTTGAAATGCTTTTCATCCGTGTGATAGCCAATATGTGTAGCAAGTACATGCTTCATATGAAATGCCTTGCCACAGATGTCACACTTGAATTTTTTTTCTCCGTGAATTATATTATGCGTATAGAGAGATGCATTATTTGCAAACACCTTTGAACATATTTCACATGATACTCTCTTATGCTTTGAAGCATCAGCGCTTCCACCTGTCTTTGTAAGCTTTTTTGGTTTTTGATTTTTTACAATTTTTACAGGGAGTTTGTTAATTTGTAGATCATCATCTTTTATGCAGAATCTGAATTGGTTGTGTCTATATTTCAGTTTTGAGACATCTTTTTCAGTTAATCTACATAATGATACTGTACATGGTTTCTCTTTAATTAAGGTACTAGACTCAGATGCTTGAATAGTTTTTGACTGGAACAATTCTTTATATAGAGATGCTTCTTTCCTTGAATGCATTGCAAGTGACATTTCTTCATTAGATTGAAAAGAATCATTCTGATCAATGTCAGTAGCGTTATTAACTGTAGGACTATATGGGCTCTCTCTTACATGTTGGTTCCTTGATTTCTCTTTGGTCGTATTTGAGGTTCTTATATGGGAACAACCTGCACACTGGTGATGTAGCATTTGTGAAATGTCTTTTTCAGTTAATCTACATAATGACACTGTACATGATTTCTCTGTGATTGGGCCATTTGCCTCAGATGTTAGAATTGATTTAGATTGGAGAAGTTCTTTATGAACAGATGATTCTTTCCCTGAATTTTTCACAGGTGACACTTCTTCATTGGTTTGAAAAGTATTGTTTTGATCCATATCATCAGTGTTATTAATGTCATCAGTAGATCTAGTAGAACTAGATATGCTCACTTTTAAGTGTTGGTTCCTTGATTTCTCTTCGGTCGTATTTGAGGTTCTTATATGGGAACTACCTGCACACTGGTGATGTGGCATTTGTGAAATGTCTTTTTCAGTTAATCTACATAATGACACTGTACATGATTTCTCTGTGATTGGGCCATTTGCCTCAGATGCTACAATTGATTTAGATTGGAGTGGTTCTTTATTAACAGACAATTCTTTCCCTGAATTTTTCACAAGTGACATTTCTTCATTGGTTTGAAAAGTATTGTTTTGATCCATATCATCAGTTGCAGTAATTTCATCAGTAGAAACTAGATATGCTCTCTTTTAAGTGTTGGTTCCTTGATTTCTCTTTGGTCACATTTGATTTTCTTTTATAGTTTTTCATTTTTGTTTCAAAGTTTAACTTTGCTTGTTCCATATCTTTTTTACTTTCCTGTATTAGTGGACATAACAGCGGATCTTGATCAGGCACAAATTGTTTAGAATCAATTCTGGCCAGTTCCTCCTTTATACATGTAGATTCTGAAGTGGAGGATATTCCTTACTCTTGTGTGTTTTTTGATAATTCTTCCGTGATGCACTTTGGCTCATCGTGGACTACAACAGTTTTGTCTGAAGCAATCTGATATGAAGAATTTGTTTCAGCCATCTGCTGTAAAAAATAAAAATCATGTGTCACTGATATTTTGAAAGTTAAAACTTAAAATTATCACTAGGCCTCTAGGAAGACCAGTTTTGTACTGTTAGAGCTACCCAGAATAAATATACATGTAGTTTCATATCAAATCAAATGAAAACACTTATAATCACTCAACGATACATACCTACTTCGATACATACTTTTTTGTCAGTAAATGTTGCAATTTGTAAACTTTCCTCATAAAGTGATTCAATAGCTCTATAAAGATCCAATACTTTAATACTTGAACAAGGCTCATGGTGAACAATATCAATTTAAACTTACACAAATAACAACATGTTCGCTAGTATCAACATAAAATAGGTTATATAAAATTATATCATTGCTAGTTGAAATATTCCCTAGCGGGTCTAGCGAATACATACTAAAACAGACATCAGCACATCTTTTCTAGTTTTCTCAAAAAGTGCCATTTGGCTAATGCATTTTGAAAGCTTATTAATATTTTTTCACAAAAAAAGATGAAAGAGCAAGACTCACATACCAGTCCCATTCCTGTTGACTTCACTGTTAGACATTTCTTTAGTTGTAGACTTCTCTGAAGAATCCATGCTTAAAATCTGAAAGTATACATGTAAAACAAAATATTTGTTATGAGGTAGATTATCAAAAATACTCCTTTGATTTGTACGGCCAGAAGATAAAATATAAGGCTCCTAGTGACTGTTTTAGCTCTAATGTTGATTTAAGTAGACTGAGAAAAATGTGATTATATGTGTAAGTTATATGATTTGATTTAATCAAACATAATGTCCAGCCAGACAACTTTCTGAGACAAGAACTCATGCTTGATACAGAAAAATCTTGTAATAGTGAAATGCTCTCATTTTTCTTGCAAATACCACTGCTGGGGGGTCAAATGGTTTCTTGGCTCATGTGACATTACTTTTTGTACCATTGAGATGCATGTAATAAATTGACAAAGTTCAAATTAGAATTTCACAAATCGCAGCCCATCGATTTTCAAAGAATTTCAGGGAAATACGAGGGGTGATCAATAAGTAATGGACGCTTTTTTACACAGATACTTTTTATAGACCAATCCCTTTGATTTTCCTACCAGTGATACATCATTCAATTATCTATCATTTCTGAGGATTTGAAGACAAAATATAAAATACATGTTGATATATCTTTATTTCCTTGAAGGAGGTACAGGTACCCCGGGACCGACATTTATGTCACATATTCAGTTTTCAGCCAGTTTGGCAAATTTCAGTTAGATTTAAACTTTCCATATGCAACATGTGTTATGTTGTTTGAAATACTTGCTGACTGGTCAACACATAAGCAGAAAATTTAGTGATGTCAGAGTGTTGTATGGAAGGGGTTTGCAGGTCAATTTGAGAAAGCATTGTGGAAGAAAGGGGTGGTGAGAGAAGGGAACACCCTACTCCATATGGACATTGCACCTGCCCACAGATCTCAAAATGTTCAGAAAACAATTTCCCTGGACCTCAAAATTGAGCCCTTGGCCAATGCACCCATATTGTCCAGATCTGCTCACATGTGCCTTATTTATTTCTATACTACTTATTTCTATAGAGAAAGGATGCATGTTTATTGATATTGATGAAATAAAACAACCCGTGCAACTGCATCTTGCTACCATGTCAGAGAATGGATTCAGCCTTGTCTCACAATCTTGAATTAAGAGGATGAGGAATTGTGTACATGTAGCACTTGATGGAACCTATGTAGAGGGCTCTGTGGAATGAATGTGGCATGAATACCACATAGTGATGATAAAATATTCAAAATCAACTATGGGATAACAAAATGGGGTAATTCATGACCATAATGGTTTGTTTTGTTCAGCCTGCATTCAACTGCATTGCATGTAAAACAAGCTAAAATAGCTTCAGAATGTTTGACGTAAATGTCGGTCCCGGGGTACCCATACATCCTTCACAGAAATAAAGATATATCAAAAGATATTACATGTTTTGTTTTCAAATCTTCAGAGTTGATAGATAATTGAATGATGTATCACTGGTAAGAAAATCGAAGGGATTGGTCTATAAAAAGCATCTGTGTAAAAAAGCGTCCATTACTTATTGATCACCCCTCGTACAGCAAAACATCTTCATGTCAAAAAATTTTTTACAAAAATATCCCACGAAAGTTCTGTTTTCTTACATAGTTGGAGTGCCAAAACATCATCATATTTATATACATTGACCAATTCACCACTACTAAGCTCATCCATCCACAGAAAATAATCCCAAATATTTTACCATTCACTGTTATGATCACATGTTTCCCAGTTATTCTGTGCATTATCAGATTATATGTCTGCAAATTAGAGTATTCTATCCAAAGATGGTGCTGTAGTATACCATTGAAGTCCCGAAACAGATTTTTAATAGAACTACTTTCCTCATACCACGGGATAAACAAACCGAGTAAGGATAGTACACTCTTCAAAGTGATTTTTAGTCAAGTTATTCTGACATTTAAGTATTGACATTTAAGGTCAGACTGCACTTTCTACCATATTGATGACCATGTGCTTTTTCAGATGAATATAACAAATTCCAAACATGGTCTAATTCTTTCATTTTTGCGCAAAAGTTGCTTTTGAGTACCCAAATTATTAATTGAGTGTTAATTTTTCTTTAGAATGTATAAATAACAGGAAAATTGAGCGGTCTTCTTTTCAAAATTGCAAAAAGTCTCATCATGCAGATCTGCCACATTTTACTATTTTTATTGATGTATGATTTACTATACAGTATGTGTAGCTATAAATACTGCACTACAATATTTGTATGTGCAAGTGCAACTGGTCTGAAAGTCTTTTAGCGAATAAATAAATGTACATGTCATATTCTGTACAAAAGTCCAGAATTGCATAGACTTTACAGGGTTGGTTTCTTCAACATTTTGTGCCTCTATCTGGAAAATCTGAATTAATTTCAGTTTGCAAAAGGCCCATGAAAAGATGTCAAATTTAACTACATGCATGCATGATCATACATTTACTTACCAAGCTAAGCAGATTACAGAGTTCCAATCCACCAGTTATATTAGTATGTTTGGTGCAGTGTGCCCCTGTTCATCTGCGATCTGGTCATTTTACATATTTAGTAGTTCATTAGTGATAGAGGTCCATGCATGCTGGTACATAGCAGTATCAAAGTTACAGTGGCACTGATCTAAATATAGCCTCAGCAGAAATTTCCTTGCTGATTTCAATGGCAAGATCATATTTCAGGGTAGAGATTAAAAGGTGGATTGGATCGAGTGGATTGGATTCATGTAAAAGGTGGATTGGATCAGGAATCTTCAAAATATGGATTTTTTAGTTGATCTCCCTCTAAGCAATTTCCTCCGGCCTAAAGTATTTTGTGATTACAAATGACAAATACATACTTCAATTAGTTCAAAGTATTTAACTGCTCTCCCTTGTAAATAATAAACATAAGGAAGACAGAATAAACATAGATCTGTGGATAAGAGCTGTCGTTCAAATTGACGTGTGGGTGTCCCCAAGACATTTCTGCCATTTTCTGTTTGAATTGAAAACAGATGATATGAATCTTCGACTTCAAAAGTCTGCCTTATGATTTGTGAAATGTCTAAAATTACCCTTGGAATGAATAAGATTGGGTATCAGGTCACCTTTCTAGCCTACCCAAGCAAAATAATATAACATCTATTATTTGACATTGTGGAAGTGAGGAGAGCATTAATCGTCTGATGGGAGATCAATATAAATTTTTTAAGGAAAATCCATATTTTGAAGAATCCCGATCCAATCCACCTTTTCACATGAATCCAATCCACTCGATCCAATCCACCTTTTAATCTTTACCTATTTCAGGCCTCCTACAGTCCTATATATTTATGCATCATTTTTTCATCAGACTCATCATGGTCAGGGATGAATCATTTACTGTTTGGTTATTTCAATGCAATATTATTATAGGGTACTGTGAGCACAGTCAATTGCATTTTGTGAGGTGTCCTGATAAAAGTGGGTTTGGTTCAAGATGCTGCAAGTTTTGTGTGATGATGATATATTTTTACAATATTTGAACAGGTTTATCATTGTGTCATATTGGTTAGCAAATTGTATGCTTGTTTTTGGTGTTGCCTACTGTTTAATATAAAAGGCATGATCTGGACTAATACTCAAGGGCACACAGGTTGAAGTCAACGTGTAAAGACCTCTGCCTCTCAATGTAGTAGCAGTATATTATAGATCACTAGAAATTTGTAAAAGGGAAATTTTATTTCGACAATTCAATTTCACCTTTTATTGGTGAAGTTTCGGGATCTTCTTTTGTGCATGGGCTTTCAATTAGTTGAAAGCCCATGTTTTGTGTAATGGTGAAATTTTGATTTCAAGAATACTTTTTGAAGTACAAAGCATGATCTGATGACATTTCATATAAATAAAACAAAACACATACATTTTACATATTTTCATTTGTATTACTATCAGATACATGGGGTAATATGAAAATTGATCCACTAAGAACTGATGAATATTCTAGTTTAAGGGAACTTTTTAGATACCCATGTTATCTGACCCAAATTATTCACCTGGTGGTGAAACTGGTAACTATCTACTCACATCTGGGTTATTGTGATGTGGTGTCCTGGACCAGTCTATTAAAATCAGTTAGTTATATGTTAAAAAACAGCAAACGAACATTAAAAATGTAATAATAATATTTTATTCTTCATTTATTCTACCGATTCATCCATGTTACCAAGGAAAAAATAGTGATGTACAATTTTAAATTTGCGGGATCCTGAATTTGTGATTTTACACCGAGTCTCATGTGAATGTACATGAATTCAAGGTTCTCGCGAATTTTACATATATTACAGTAATTTTACATTACCTAATTTCCAACCATTGATTAAAATATGGTTAGTACCATTAGTATTTAAAAAAATATCCACCCATTTTTAGAATATGCCAGCAAATAGCTTTTGAGAGTCAGATTTATTTCTTAATTTTTCCATATCTGATAGGGTTGTAGAGATCTAAAGTATAAAAAGCCAGCACAAAATTCATAACAATCTGCAACCATTAATTTTATCAAAAACAATTCCTCACATTAAGATAGAATTTAGTTGAAGTGCATGAAAATAGTTCATAGTACAATATTGCTTATTTATTAGACTTTAATAGTTTCTCACCAGTATTATAAAGTTAATAGTCACTCACAAATTGATTTACAATCATGTATTTTATATAAACTCAATACCTAAACACATGTATACAGAATTCTTAGACATGGTGTTATGCACCATACTTATTGATATATTAAAACAACAACAATCCCTCATTTCTAAAAATCAGTTGATAAGACGCTTTTAGACCATATTATACAGGGTGGGCCAAAAACAACCAATACCCAAGTTTAAGGATGAATATCATATGATATAATGTTAAACGATGCCATGTATTATATATCATTTTAAAGATAAATCATTTCCAAATAATATGTCACCATCCAATTGAAAAACTTTTGTTTTCTCGTGGAGTTAGAGACTAAAATTGACTCCAGGGGTGACAAGAACAACCAAAAATCAAAAAATGAAAATTCCCTTTCCCTCCATATTGCAGTCATAGCTGCACTCAATATGCTTGACTGAATCATTATAAATTTATACAACTTTGTTAGGAATTGATTTATCTTTAAAATGATACATAAAACATGGCATGGTTTAACATATATCATATGAATCGTTCATCTTTAAACTTGGGTTTTGGTTTTTTGCCCCACCCTGTATATCCACTCAATATTCTTCAAAATGTCTTCAAAATGTGAAGTAACTTTGTATTACCTCATATTGAAATGCTTAAGTACAAAATGATATCTGTTTAATCTTCAATGCATCACTCCTAGTTTTCTACAAGTTGAAATTCTTAAATGAATAAAGTTAATGAATTCTTCATAAGGCCATAAGAAGTAGATTCTTTGTTTTACGTCCCCTTGCTTGCACGATTTGGAGTAAATCAGAAAAAACAAACACATCCAAATAGCAATCACAAAGGTCTGAAAGTACCATCGCATTTTGTTCAATCAGAATCAGACAAAATGGTCGATAATTTGATATCCGTCAAAATTGACAGTCTTAGTGATTACTTTGGCATACATTGTGTATTTTTTTCTTATTTTTTACCCCTGAATAATAGCTATGTTTAAATATATTGTATAAAATGTATAGATATGTGTCTGTAATCACTGTAAATTGGTATGTCATCCCTTTTTATGCCCATAAAATGTATACATTTCTCAGCAAACAAGTTTGTGTTTTTTCTTGAGTTTGTGTTTTTCTCCATGTACCCTTGCATAATTTGGATTTTGCCAGGATGCAAAAAAAGAATCTACTTTTCATGACCTAAGGGATAAATGTCACTTCCATGGGATTTCTCAGCATTTCTCATAAAAATGAAGACAGATATTATCAAGCTTATGATGAATCTATTCCTCTTCTTGATAGTCAACTTCCTGTAGTGATCTACAACAACATGATGGCAGAACATCCTATCACCATTAGCATTCATTTGGTTCGGGAATTCTTTTGCCCAATCCATTAAGTATGTAAGTCATTGCTCACTTGATCAGGATCATGAAATTTTAAATGTCTTAACCTGAGGACAAATCAAAGGTTCTTAAAGTTTTCTATCAACAAATTAAAACAAAATGTTGATAAATGTCTCAACTTTAACACTTATTAACATATTATGTAACAAATTAAAAGATATCTCAACTTTTCTTTACATCTTAATTTCTGAAATCTATTGGAAAACTGTGATTTTAAATGAGGTGAAGGGTAAAACGATATTGTAATAAGTATATTATACAGTCATAATATAATGCCTGCTGCCATCTAGCCAGAGAACAAACAACATGACAAACACCAGGAAATTGATCAAAATTTAATATTCTGCAATTCAGCACTGTCCACACTCTGTGGAAATGGAATTTCAGGAGGAGTGAATGTGTATGTGCTTATGTCTTCTTAACCTGACCTTAGCTGAAAATGCCTTAGAGCATATGTTACATTTATAAGGTTTCTCACCAGTATGGGACCGTTTATGATCAGAGAATTCTCCTTGTGTGACATAGGCTTTAGGGCATAGCTCACATTTGAATGGTCTCTCTTCAGTATGGATTCGCAGATGATGTAGTTTTAGAGAATGAGAGTGGGAAAAGTCTCTTGAACAAACCTTACATGTATATCTTTTTTCTCCTGTGTGAATTCGATTGTGACTTTTAAGACTACTATTTTGAGAGAATCTTTTAGAACAGATCAAACATTTATATGGCTTTTCTCCAGTATGAATTCTGATATGTGTAATAACATCAGAACTACGAGCAAATGATTTAAAACAAACTTTACACTTGAATTTCTTTTCTCCAGTATGAGTGGTTCTGTGTGGGTTACATGCAGATCTGTCTGTAAATGTTTTTGGACAGAAATCACATTTAAATGGTTTTTCTCCAGTATGGATTCGGCTATGTAATTTCAAGCTTGCTTTACTGGAAAGTATTTTTAAGCATACCTCACATTTTATTTTTGCATTTCCAGTATGTCTCATACATTGTGAAGATAGGGTGGAACTGCGGTTGAATGTTTTGTAGCACACATTACATTCAAAGGGTCATTCACTACTGTGAATTATTTTGTGTTTTGATAGATCCCCACTTGTAGAAAATGCTTTATAACAAATACTACATTTGTGCAACTTCTCCCCAGTATGGCTTAAAGCATGACTAGAAAGACCATAATATGCTGAAAATGTTTTACCACATGTATTACATTTATATGGTCTTTCTCCAGTATGAATTCTGTTATGTATATTAAGATGATTTCTTATATGAAATGCCCTAAGACATACTTTACATTCAAATCTTTTCTCTCTTTTGTGAAATTGCATATGTAAAGCAAGTACATCCTTTCTATGGAATACCTTGCCACAGATATCACATTTGAATTTTTTCTCCATGAATTCTACTATGCAGCAGTGTATGCTCACGGAGTGATGCATTATTTGCAAGTACCTTTGAACATATTTCACATGATCTGTTTCTTTTCTCTCCAGTGTGAATTTGCATATGTTTAATAAGATAAATCTTTAATGAAAATGCCTTGGAGCAGATATTACATTTAAAAGGTTTCTCATTAGTGTGTGTTTTGAAATGTCTGATAAGAAGATATTCTAATTTAAATGGTTTGAAACATATCTGACATTTGAAATGCCTTTCCTCACTGTGATAACCCATATGTATAGCAAGTCCATCCTTCCTATGGAATGCCTTGCCACAGATTTCACATTTTAATTTTTTTTCTCCATGAATAATATTATGCTTATGGAGTGATGCATTATTTGCAAACACCTTTGAACATATTTCACATGATACTCTCTTATGCTTTAAAGCATCAGCGCTTCCACCTGTCTTTGTAAGCTTTTTTTGTTTTTGATTTTTTACAATTTTTACAGGGAGTTTGTTAATTTGTAGATCATCGTCTTTTATGCAGAATCTGAATTGGTTGTGTCTATATTTCAGTTTTGAGACATCTTTTTCAGTTAATCTACATAATGATACTGTACATGATTTCTCCGTGATTGGGGCATTTGCTTCAGATTTTGATTTCAATTGGAGTAGTTCTTTACATAAAGATGATTCTTTCCCTGAATTTATCACAAGTGACATTTCTTCATTGCTTTGAAAATCATCGTTTTGATCATTGTCAGCAGTGGTATTAATTCCATCAGTAGACATTGTAGAACTAGAGCTGCTCTCTTTTACATGTCGAGTCCTTGATCGCTCATTGGTCACATTTGACAGTTTGGTTTCACAGTACAACTTTTCTTGTTCTATATCTTTTTTACTTTCTTGTTTTAGTGGACATAAGAGAGGATCTTGATCAGGCGTGCATTGTTTGGAATTAATTGCCAACTCCTCTTCTATACATGTAGCCTCTGAAGTAGAGGATGTTCCGAACTCTTGTGTATTGTTTGATAGCTGTTCAATGATGTAACTTGGTTCATTGTGGACCACAAACGCTGTGTCTGAAGCACTTGGATGTAAAGTATCAATTGAAGCCATTGGTTGATCTACTGTAAAAATCAAAATCTTGTGCCTATTTCTGATCTCAATCAATATATTTCGATACACACTTTTTTGTCGGTAAATGTATTTTGTAGTAAATCTTCATCACAAAGTGAATTAATGGCCATTTAAAGACAAGAAAATGTGCATCCATATCTTTAATCACTTTGCTCGCAAGATGCAAGCTCATTAATATTTGTATTGAAAAAGTAGGTTTATATCAGATTTTATTCATGGTACAAAGAAAATAACAGGCGTTAGACTGTTCATGTTTTGAGGTTAATGTTAAAGATATATCTGCACATCTATTCAATTTTTCTCAAAAAGTGCCATTTGCCTATGCATTTTGAAAGATTATTAATATTCCATACCAGTAACTCTACCGCTGATTTCACTTTTAGACATTTCTTTGGGTGAAGACTTCTCTGTAGATGTAATGCTCATTATCTGAAAGTATAAAATTTTTTGATTAGGCAGGAAGATTAATAAAGATACTGTATATGCAAATATCAGATTCTGTATACAAGTCCAGCTTTATAGAATTACAGACTCATTCTAGTAGGGTTTGACCTCCTCAACATTTTGTGGCCCTATGATATCCCTGAAATTATAGATGCCTACATGATCATATACTTACTTACCATGCCAAACTAAGTAGCTTGTAGAATGAATTTTGAGTCCCAATCTACCAGTTACTATTGCCCTTGTTCATCTGATCATATATCACATACTTAGCAGTTTTAGTGTTTGAAATAGCATTAGTAACACCTGGCATAGATCTAAATATAGCCCATTAGTACAACAGACATATGCTTGCCGGGGTTTCCTTGACAACATTAGGGTCAGGGGTGAGCACAGTCAACAGCAGTTAGATTTGAGCCCAAATCAACTTTCTGAAATGGAACAACAGAATCTTAGGTGTCCTGATAAAGTGGGTGTGGTACAAGTGCTGCAAGTTTTGTGTGATCTTTGATTCCATGGCATGGTATATTTTAACAATATTTGTCTCATATTCAGCTCATATTCAGTCTCATATTCAGCTGTCTGATTTGGCATAATCAAAGGCCATGTTGCTTATCATAAACAATTTGCTAAAAAACACGCCTTGTGTATTTATGTATGAACAATAAAATTATTCCATTTTCCAAAACATTTCTGTTTGAGATTTTGATCTTTGGACTTTCCAAGTTTATTAAACCATACAGTTTCTTGCCCCAATATAATATTTTAGGCCTATTTTGAAATAAACTCTCTACAGTATATAATCTTTTGCCACTAATATATAGTCCGGGAAGTGCAAATGGATATTGTATCAAAGCATTGTACATAGTCGTTACGATTTAGAATCTGCAATTATTATACTTATACTTATTTCCCTGTTTTATCATTTACAGGCTCTGTTTGAAGGAGTCGTGGATACAGTTGAAAATGGTGGAAAGGTTCAACCAATCGCAACACAGCTAGGTTATACCAAAGAGCAAGCTGAGGCAGTGCAGAGGTTGAAAACTGCCAAAGATAATTATGAGAGACTTGGACTCAGTATGGGATGTACAAAGTAAGGCTCACTGTTATATATCCTGTGTGAAGATGTTTTAAGAAACTTTAGAGCAAAAGGTCAGGCTGTCATCACCTAGTTTGACTAGTTTACCAAAATAATGAAAAAAGTTAATTTTGAAAGCTAATTTATGTACAGGGTGGGCCAAAAAAGGTAACCCTAACAAATCTTAATAACTCAGTCATTCATCATTGGTTGAAAGAACATGGTTTGATTTTGCCAAATATGACTTCAAACCCACGCTGAATGACTGTGTTATTATGATTTGTTTGGGTTACCTTTTTTCTCATTCTGTATTTTGAATTTGTCTTCATTTGTCACTCTTCACTGTACTTCCTTTCTACCAAGTGTTAATCTCACCGGTTTCCAGTCTCAAAGATGTCTTAAATAGACATGTTTATGCATGTATAAGTTAAAGTTAATACATGACTGTGATTGCATATTCTTTCAGGGATGATATAAATAAATCTTATAGAAAACTGGCTCTATTGCTGCATCCAGACAAAAATGTTGCCCCAGGGAGTGAGGCGGCATTTAAACTGCTGGTGGCTGCCAGGACTGCTCTACTCAAGAACATCAGATAACATCAATGAACACCAGTCAGCGCTCACCAGTCACCATGAATTGTGCGATTTCTTAAGACTATTTATTGTGGAATTGTTCATCAAGGAAGATCAGTTGAAGAAAAATATTCCTGTTCTTTGGACTATTTATTCAGGAGTTCAGCTCAATAGAGAGCCATCTAACAAAGGATATTTTAACCAATGCAGATTGAATGAAGAAAAATTTTCCTGGTTTTACTGTATGTAATCATTTATTGGATTTTGAGCTGAAGAATGAACAAATCTGCTTGAAAACATTTCACATTAAGAATGTGATGAAATGTATCTTCCAGTCATATAAATTATAATCCATCCACAGTATATCCGTCCAAACTCTAAACTGTATGGGATATACATGTATGTCTTGCATCAAATTCCTGACCCCTACTTTCAATATTTCTTGCATGATTGACAAGAAATTTGGAGGGTGGGAAGGCAGGTGCTGGATGCAAGATTATGGAATATCTCTCTTAGAACTACTATGATCTCATATTTCTTAAAATGCTACCTCTGCTATGTAGTATGTAGTATATTTTACACCTGTAATATGTAGTTAACTATTTTACATGTATGTTGGTTTATTTTATACACTTCCATATTATAATAATACATATATATATATCACATCAGCTTTGATTAATGTTCCCCCTTGCCATTCATAGTATAATACATGTACACAGGTTATATATATTTTGCAAGTGGATCCAAGAGACCAATTGTGCGAGTCCATTATTTTGCAGGGGTGACAGGATACACACATTCAATATTGTATATAATAGTGAATTCCCAGCGAGTGATTTCAGTACAGTAAAACTGTCATAATGAACACCTCTTTAGTTTAGTTCTGTACCCAGTGAACACATGAGTCTACTCAATTGAACACCTGTGTATAGTGAACACCGATTCCCAGCCAGTGATTTCAGTACAGTTAAAACTGTTATAATGAACGCCTCTTTCTTGGTGAATATCTGTGGCTAGTGAACACATGCGTCTACTCTATTGGACACCTGTGTATAGGGAAGGGTCACCCATTCCCAGCCAGTGATTTCAATACAGTAAAACCTGTCATATTGAAAACATCTCTGTGCACTTGTATAGAACATCTTTTGCACCACATGGTTGCAAAGCTAGAAGCTAGCTTTTGCTATATTTCATTTAATTTGGATGGAACAAATGTCTTTTCTTTTTATCATAATGTCAAATTACATTTTTAGAGGCAGACAATCGATTAATGGAAATTGGAATGTGTGTATCTTGTCACCCCTGTAAAATAATGGACTCGCCCACTTGGTCTCTTGGATCCACTTGCAAAACATATAACCATGTACTTGTGATGTATAATATAACTTATAATATTAAAAAATGGTTTCCAATTCTTGAATGCAATACATGTAATCGCATAATCCTCCAATATAAGAATGTTCCTTTAAAGTGGCAGCAAAGAATTGTGAGTTTAAAATGTTGGAACCAACATTTTCAAGAAGCAGACAAATGTTTCCATTATAATCCTAATTTATTATCTGAACAAGAGTTGAGATATTTTAAAAAACATTTGAGCAAAAACCTATTGTAAAATTCCAATAATTCACTAGCTTCAACTAGCTTCTATTCTTTGTTATCTCTTTAATCATGACTCAGTTACAGTGCCAATCCTTCTTTTTCATATTCATATATTGAAAAAAAGCTTTTATATTTTGTTTTTATTGCTGGGGTGTTGTGACACTGAATTGTGATGTGATACATTAAAAGTTTACCCTTATGAGGGACGACTGTTTTTAAGAGCCTTAAGAATCTGCTCAAATGTCTCAACAAAGGAAGCAAAGCCTTACACAAATGGTACAGCCATTCTTGGAAATTTAACCTTTTTTAGTAAGAACACAACAAAGTTTATTAAAGACTAGCATCACTATGATGATCTTGTACCTGGGTATTTAGACAACACATTACTATGAGGCTAAACACTTCTATGGTATTATATTTTTGGCAACTCTGAAAATGAAAAGAATATGCTACTAAAACACTAGTGAAGTTGCATACAAGCAAAAGAATACCCTCTTTGGTTGTTAGATATATTTACCACATGTTGTGTCAGTCTGTTGCCATGGTAACAGGGAGTGCAGTAGCTAAGATAGATAAGCTAAACAGAGAAGTATCCTGGCAACATATACTACAAGCCACCACAGAGCTGCTGATTAACCAGATGATGTAAATTGGGAAATAGTAGGTAAGTAAAAAGTTATATAGAAATACCTGTTAATTATTTTTGTGAATCACTATATTTGGATTGATGTAAGTTTGGTGTTAAGAGACCTTATTACTACTTGGTGTTTTATGTATTCATGGTTTGGATACTTGCATGCAAAAACTTTTCACTGGTCCAAAGTGTTTTAATATTTTCTCATATGTACTTTATTAGTGTGGTTGTAATAAAGGCCAATAAAACTTCATTTTTTCTTTGCTAAAATGATGTACATTACAGGTAACACAGGATCAGTCTGATCATAAAACAAAGGATCACCCTGATCATAAAAACTTAATCAAAAGGTTGAGCCTGTAGAGACACTTTTTAGAATATTTTTGTTTTATTCCTTGTTCTATTATTTTTCAATTTTTGTAGTTCAACTGTTTTTATATTCATCTTGGAAACAAGTTATTTTATTGTTTCAAGTATTCAATGTGGAATCATGGGCTTTCAACTAGATGGTGGAACCTATTTTTTGTACACTAGAAGAATTCACTTAGAATCAAGGATTTGATTCTATATTATGAATCTTTTGACCTTTTCGATATATACGAGGCATAATTGGGATGGTAAGGGAACTATTGCTTAAAATAATTTCCATGGTACCTTTTCACCCCACTGTATGATGGTATGAAAGAGCAAACTTTTTCTATTTTTCTATTTGTAACTCATAATAAAGCACGGTAACATTCTTGAGAAGTTTGTAGTTTGATCTAGTTTTGACCAGTATTCATCATACAGTGCATGAAGGTATACTATACAAGATTTGTACCTAAACTCTTAATCAAATTGACTGGATGTTTTTTAGACAAAGTAGAATCTAGCAGAATGCCAGACATTGCATTGAAGTTGAACAGATCTGCTCTTTTGCTCAATGTTATGGTGAACTTCTAAAAATAACTGAAAAAGTTAGAAAATATATCTTATTTCTTCATACTAAAGTGTGCTTTGTTTGAAAAAAGGATTATTTTATTTTATTTGCTTGATATGAAATAGATTTTGAACTCCTGAAAATACAGGATGTTAGAATACAAAAAAATTAACATTACATTATGGTTGGTGTTAAAAAATCTAAATGTAATTTGAGATCAAAGTTTATCTCTTAAAATAAATCAGGTAGACAGAGCCTGTATGTAAGTGAAATCAGATGCAGGCACAATCTTTTTTCAACTGTCATTTTTCATCGCAGCATAACAAACTTAATTGATTCCATATTTTAACACCAAGAGTTGCTTAAAACATATGTACGTACATATGTGTAAAACAGTTTCAGAATGAGAAGCTGGCCTTCTGGTATGTAGACACATCTGACAGAACAGACTGGAAGATTAAAAAACAGAACCAGAATTTTGTGAATTGAGCTTGCATCATTTTGCACTCCAATTCTATCCTTCAATACCTTATGTGAATGTATGTCTTTTTAACAGGCTTGAACATCACTAGATTGGAAGACATAATCATTTAAGTCATCTGAAGGGTGCATTGAAACATGATTTTTTTAATTGCAATCTTACTTTAAGTCATTGAGATAAGCAAGCACAGAGGGCAACATTAGAATGCTGAAAAGCTATAATAGAAGCCCTTAAAGTACTTCTCCATCATTAGAAAAAATTAATAAATCAAAGATAGGATTCTCCCCATGTGTGGTCACCAACCTATCATAAACTAACAACTCTGAAATATTCCATATATAAATAGTTTAGGTATCTTAGCCCTGACCAGGATTAAACCACATGAGAGGATAGACTCAAAGTGGACCCAATGTGCAACAGGAAACTGGATAAATAGATATACAAACCTGTGGCCAAGTTAGATAGATCCTCTTACTTATTGCTTCATTAACACATTCTTTGCATGTTATTGCTAGGTTTGATATGAATCGCCTTTTTATTCTGACGTTTTGTGTAAAACATCACTTTAGGGTGATGCAGGAGTATCACAGAGTAAAGTGTTATTTGTTTTGTTAAAGTCGCAATAAAGACTAGAGAGTGAAAAATAATTTCAAAAAGCATGCCAATATTTCCCTTACCAACTTAATATTATTTTCTGAGAAAAATTAAGTTCTTTGACAAAGACTTTGGCAAAACAAAAATCCTATACCTGAATACTTTGAACAGAAAGCAATTTCTAATTGGAAATAGATACCATACAGGCCCGTAGCCAGGATTTGCCAAGGGGGGGGGTCAGTTTTCAAAAATTTCCAGGGGGAGTTCACATTAGACAATTTTGGCCCAAATATGGCTAAAATCACTTGAGAAGTGCTCAAAATGGTGAAAAACTGCATGATTTTGAAAGAATCGCCCGAACCCTGTGAACCCCCCCCCCCCTGGCTACAGGCCTGCCATATGTTGAATTAAATGATAAGAAAGCAAAATTCTTTTACAATGGATTGATTAACTTCAAATTCGAAAAAAAAAACATGAATGAATTTCTTCAGTGTATTTTTCATCATTCTCTTAACTTCTCTATCTTTTTAATACAATGGAACATAAGAAAGATGAAGAAAATATTTCTACATTCTAAATATAACTCAATTTTGAAATGGAATTTTCTATTATTTAGTTTCTACCATAGAGGGCTATGTTGTCAAATTCCAAAAGTTCTGATTCAAAACATATTAATTGCCTTCAATGTTTAAAATCATGTCCCAATCAAAAATTATCTAATAAGTTCACATTTTCTCAAGTAGAGTCATTAAAACTTGAAAATGTTCCAAGTAGATCCAAGCTGTTCAAGTCACCAAATACTGAGTCATGTAAAGAACCAGGATCCTCTCAGAAAGTTAGATAGGTTTTTAACATTGAGTAATAGAAACACACTTTCACATTATTCAAAATGCCAAGATTCTTCTTGATGTTACATTCTTTAATTTTTCTTGTAGGAGTTTTGTTTGTAATTGAGATTTTGAAATATATGTTTTGTGCTTTTCACCTCAGTTGAATCTGGCTTTCAGCCTATTTTTCACATGAGGAATTTTAAGTGGGAATTGCTCTTTTGAGAAATGGAGAATACACTAGCTTCTACTTCTGAGGAGGCATATAACTTCAAGATCAGTTCACTTCATGTATTTTAAGACATATTTTTATTATAGTCTACATTTTTCCAATTAATCCCTATTTGTATACTGTGCAGCATGAGCATGTGTCATGCTCTTTTGATCTACTTTTCTATTTTATTAATTTGCCTTTAGTGCTTTCTCATTAAGAGTCTGATTGTTTCTGAGAAAACTTCTTCAGAGAGTTTATAAATTGTATGACCTAACCTAAAGTTATCTTTGCCAAGTGGGTGTCCTGTCAAAGTTTCACTTTCAAAATTCAGTATAGCATTACCATATCATAGCTTACAGACAGCAATGTGCTCAAGTGTTAGAGCTACCAGCCAAAGTGCAGGGTGATAATTACATGGATTAGATTATTTCTGGCATATCAGTACAATATTAATCATAAATCATTACAATACTCTGTTGGTTTTGCTCCACCCAAAATACCAGTGCACACAGCTGAGTTAGTTCCATATAATGACTAGTTGAGTTTTTTTGTTAGTTTTATCATCATTTCACCCATCTGTGTTTTTTAAACAGCATGTTGTATTTAGATTCAGTTTACTTTATATAGGTCATTGAGAACTTCATCTGACACTTCAGTCACATTCAAAGAAAAAAATATTTCAAAATTAACCATTTATTTTTCTTTGTTTTTTGCTTGCCTGTTTCAACACACATCATATATGTAAACAGGCCTATTCATGAGTATTCTTTTATTCTTGCCAATTTTTTATATTTGTTCAACTTCTAAAATATTTTCTTAATTTTATTTCTTCTCATCAATCAACATGTATACTTTAGAGAATGTATCAAGTTGCAGTATTCCAGGATATTTCAACTGGTAATCTCTGGTTTGTTGATAGTTGATCAGAGTGGTTAACCACAATGTTTAGTGGTCTAAGAACTTTGGGATTTGGCTAAGGTGAAGCTGACATTGCTCTGTTTTCTATTACAGAAGTCACAGAAGTTATCTAAACAGTGTGGGAAACTTGGAACATTGTGAGAGCTACAGAGGAGCATTTCATCTTGGAGAAAGCGTATTGGTTGATGAACAAAGTGAGTGAGTTGATGCTCTAAAGCAAGTGATGTTATCTTAGGAAATAAGCAAGTTATTTGGTGATCAAAGCAAGTGAGCCGATAAATAAACCAAGTGATTGGAATGAACAAAGCAGGTGAGCTCATGAACAAAGCAAGTGAGCTCATGAACAAAGCGAGTGATCTTGTTGAACAAAGCAAGTCATATTGATAAACAAAGCAAGTGATTTGGGACACAAAGCAAGTGATTAAGAATATTGAACAAGTGATTTGGGATACATACCAAGTACTGTAAGACACAAAACAATTGATACACCCGCGAAGCATGATGTACAATATGGATATTATATTACAGAAGTGATTACAGGAAAATCTAAATATGAAGTCAAGAATGAATCGAAAAGTGTTGACATGTGGTGGAGTATGTACTGTGATATTCATAATCTCACTAACTATAAACATATTAGCTCTCATATTTGATGCAAGACGGGAAATTTACATTTTAGATGCCGAATCTCACCAAAGAGACATCATGTTCAACAATATTAATTTGACAACCAATATTGTGCATACAAAGCACAAAAGAAATACAAATCATCAAAATTCATTTTTGATCAATGAACCCAAGAAGTGTGGAAACTTTGGAGCAGTGTCATCTATTGATCCACCAACTATATTAATAGCCGTTCTTTCATCTGTGAAAAACAAACACAAGCGGAATGCAATAAGAAAAACTTGGGCTGAAAAAGCCATTAAAAATAAGTCGATAAAATTGATTTTTATTCTGGGTGTAGAATTAGAGTTCACTGAAAAGGACCAATTGGTGATACAAAAAGAAAGTGAAAGTTATCGTGATATCATCCAGGTGGATCTAGTCGACACTTATAAAAACTTAACTCTCAAGTCTCTTGCCATGCTAGAATGGACACAGACGTATTGTGATTCTGTCCGATTCCTTGTAAAGGCAGATGATGATTCATTCATTAATATTCCAAACTTGATCAAATTATTATTCATTCATTCCAGAGAATCATATCAGAAAGTGATTTTAGGGTACATATTCAAAGAGGTTGAGCCAATTCGCAATACAACATCTGTATACTTCACCCCCAAAACAACATACAACAATACCATATTTCCTCCATATGCTTCTGGAGGGGTATATGTTATATCTAGAACTTTAATACCTGACATATTACATGCTTCAACTACACTGCGGTACTTCTTCATGGAGGATATTTATATAACAGGACTCTGTGCAGAGTTAACAAATGCAAGCCATATTCATATTTCCACAATTGAGTACAGGAAGATTATACTGGATCCTTGTATTTACAAACATCTCATATCAGCACATGGATTAGGTATTTCAGAACTCTATGAAATATGGAGGTTGATGCTTTCGGATGGTAGATCATCCTGTTAACATGTGGATATTATACTTTTATATGGATAAATAAGCTTGTTAATACAAGGATATTACTGCTTTTACATGGTATATCATATTGTAAACTGATTATTTATATTCATGACTTTCCTATGGTATATTACATTAATATTACCCTTGTTTCAATGGGTTATGCTTTGTGTGGTATCTTTATTGTAAACTATTGTTCATAGCTGCCTACTTTCACATGATATATCAGATAACAATTATCATAAGACAAAATGTCTGTACAAACGTACTATTTCAAATGGTGTATCATTCTGTTATGGAAGTTAATTTTTCACATGATATATCAATGAATGATTTTCACTTGATAGCCTGTTTGAATAATTTTTTCATCTTTCTATAAGAATATTTTAGTACATCGATTTGTTAAGACAATTGTGAAAGCATTTTTCAAATACATTTTAAATATTTTTCGAAATATAATGGAATGATAGACACATGAAAATATAATGTTGACTGTGATAATATACACTATAATAAAATGACGGTTGTGTTCATGTTGTAATATCTATGATGCGAAGATGGAATGTACAGGGTGGACCGAAATGTCAATATTTTTGATTTTTCTATAAGGTTTTGATTTCAATGATATATTTCCACAGGGATGCAGCAATCAATAATACATCGTCATTCGATCGTAAAACTGGTGTAATTATAGCATTTAATAGTAGTTTTTGAATGAGTATGGTAAACAGTCAAAAGGGGTATGAATGCAAACTCCCGGTTTGGTAAGTTAACCTTTTGGTGTTACAATTTTACGGTTGTTTTAGGTTACGTTATGTAATCAATACACACATTTATTTTCTAGATCTAAGCTTGTATTCGCGAATGCAACTTTCGGATAGCGGCTGCCGGATTGATTGCAATTTGATGGCAAACTAATTTTTCGAGCTTTCGAGTCAAACCCAATCACTGACCTAAATAACTGGTTAATCTGTCTGTTTAGCAACAAGTAACAATGGTGTACGATCTGTTGCCTAATTCAACCTAGCGGCTTTATTATAATTGATTGTAAGCCTAAAGTGGCATAAAAAATCATGCGATTACTGATCACTGTTCGTCGACTTACGGATTGTTCGGCAAATCAACTTCAAAATGACGGGTCAATTTTATAATTTATGAAAATCAATAGGTTAATCCGGTAACCGATACCGAAAATCGCTAATTCGCGAATACAAGCTGTAGCCGACACCCGAAAGTTACATACGCGAAGTCTTGGCATGTTATCACGGCGAGCTTTCGGCTGTCGACTACCGAATTAAACTATTATTTCATGACCAACTCATTTAAACATGAACAGATGAATCGAATAGAACTATTCATAATTAAATGAGAGAAAATAGTAGGTTAATCCGGTAGCCGCTAGCCGCTATTTGCATTCGCGAATACAAGGTTAACTTATTTGTCTTATGATACTTCTTATATTCTATTTTTGCCTGGATTTAACAGAACATTCTGAACACTCATGACTTTACCCTATTTGTTTTTCCGACAGACCGTGTCGATATGGAGAACTGAATTCAACAATGTTTTTCTTTTAAACCAATCATTGAGAACATTTTGTAAAAAAACACGGTATTTCATGTAATGTTGACTGATTGACAACAATTTAATGCGAAAATTATTTAGAAATATTTTATATAACTGTTTTTGTTAACATTTTTTGTTTTTTAGTACAATTGTTTTTGCTCCTTTCTACCAATTCTTGAGAATGAAATGAAAAGGCAAAACCATTAGTAGATTTCGATATAATCCCTCTACCCAAGTAACCCATTTCATGGCACTGGCCGGGTTTGTTGTCATTACACAGTTACAAGCAATATTACTGATCATTTCAGTAAAAATGGTGACATTACACTTCGAAGCGGAAATGGAGATAATGTTTCACAGCTAGTTCGGAGTGCGATACTATGTACGGTACACATACTTGATAAGAAATCATATATACATTTCAGTAATAATTAATCAAACATATTTAACCATAACAAAACCTATTTGCAAAATTATTGAAAAATTGTATTGACTGATTGGTCAATTTGTAAACAAAATTAACAGAGAGTTGCAACAGTGTCAGAGTTGGACATTTACGACGAACTTAACACAAATAATAATTCAATTAAAATATGAGTCACCAAATATTTATTTAAAATTAACTGATGATGACGTTTTTAAAATCAACTGAGTGGAGTAATGACGTTAATGAACGTGTGGGTCATCGGGGCAATACACACGTCGCTCTTGAAGTGCTTGGATAAATAATTGCTCTCACTTCAGACTAGGTTTTCAGAAGTGGTCTAAATAATATTGACACTTTCTGATCGGGTCACATGACCTATTGGAACCAATTGGAGAAATGTACACGCAAATGATGAAAAATAAATACTTTAAGTACACCCCGAGCAAATAGATAAAACAATGGACTTTGATCTTAACATACTATATGCCGTGCCTTTGGATATTGTAGTGCAAACAACCTTATTCAAAACAACTCATCTGATTTTATTGAAATATAAGTGGCACAAGCCCATAAGTTTTAAGTTCTAGAAAATCAATTTGTATGTCCTTACACTTCAGACTTTACACATGCATTGGCTGCCCAAAGTAAGAAATCACAGGATTTATTGCCAGTAGACTGAGAATATAACTATAAAGCTATAGCTAGCGAGTACAGAGTGTCTTATTAAAGTTTGTAAATCTCAAAATGAAACAAATCGTGAAGCTCAGTTCTGGCACTGACTGATGTCAACATATGCATTTATAGTCAGGATCATTGTTAGTTGAACCAAAAACTTGTGACGGTTTATGAAAACGATGCAGTGAGTGTTATTGCCAGCATGGAATCTGAATCGGAGAAAGCCATCAGACATAAACGTTTACAAAAGGTATATTTCGCCAATGATCCAAAGGGGCAGGATGGTGCCTTTAGAGACTTCAGACCACGATGTAGCTCTATCGCCAGTGAAAGACTGCTTCAAAAACAATACGCTAGAAAAGCAGCGCGAGGATCGGACGAATCATCCACTCAGTCTATGGGGCAACCCCTTACTGGGGCCCCGAATCCCACATATGCAACAAGGGCAGGGACATGTTGTAGATGGCTTGAGGACCGTCTACAGCCATTTAGGAAGAAGGAAGCAGTATTTTGTTTGATTGGGGGTGTGACATTGATCATTGGAGTGATTCTCATTATTATCAGCTTAGCTAACTCCCATGGAGTTTTCTGTGATTGTGCAATGGCTGCTAGGTCGTGTAAAGCGGACTTCACAAAGGTAGGCACCTCTAACAGTGTCGGTCTACGAGTTTCAGAAGGCCATATATTCTAACACAAAATATTGTAACACAAAATCATCGTCAATTTCCCTAGGGTTCAACGTCCATGTATAATAGTGTTAGTTTTCCTTATATACACATTAACATACAAGAACCTTATATTGAACTCTGGTATTGGTTTTTCAGAACGTTTATATTTACCCGACTTCAAGCAACATTTCTGAAAGGGACACCCAGCATCAAGAAAAAACTGTTGATCAAGTTTCCCCGACCATGTCTACAACGACAAGAAGACGTCCCACAATCAGACCAACAGGTAAATCAAAGGACAGTAAACCAATCTTTCATCGGCAAGGCGTGCCCATTTCCCAAGTGACATAGATTTCTTTCGACCATCCCCTTTGTGCTTTTTGGATGGTTTGATGATTAGACTTATGGACAAATTAATTTGGGTGTTACCAAAGTGAGAATATGAGAAAGAAGACGATAAGACCTTATAGATTCAGGGGGTCGTTTCCAAAAATGTCGTAGACTTACGATATCGTAACTTCACGACAGTCGTAGGAATGGGGAAAGTTACGACAAACTTACGACTGTCGTAGACTTACGACAGATCCGTTTCCATAAAAATCGTAAGTCTGTCGTACGAATTCGCAACTCACGACAAGTTCCACGATAAGTGATGCGAACGTCACGTGACATTCTTATTTAAAATTTTAGTTGTATTCACCTTTCCCCAAAGTCCAAAGTGTACTCATTTGACCGGTGCGCTGATTGGACGATATAAATCAATGACGTCAAAGCAGGGCACATTTCGCGCCAAAACTTCAATTAGTATTAGATCGCCGATTGAGTAAAATAGATCTCATTATAAAATGATAACAAAACTAAGTGACATATATTTTTCTGACTATTTTGTCTTAAGCCATGTCTTAAATCCCGGGTCTTAAATACACCATCAGGTAAATCAAACCATAGAAATAATTGTGATACGAGTGCTCATCTTTGAACAAAGTGAATCCAACTACGCAAACCAAAGATTGACAGTCATTCAAACAATAAGCCTGTATGGATTAGGAATATACATTTATCATGATTATTCAATTAAATAGTTCATTATGTTTCTATTAAAAAGTATATGAAGAACAGTTTTAAATGTCAGAGTCCACTTGCATTTTTCTCATCGGGTTGCCCAAATAATTTGCGATTGCTCATGGTCAAATTATATGAAGTAAATAATATTCATCATACTGTACTAGTTTGCATTTTAACTGCAATTCAAAGCTTAATTACAGGCCCGTAGTCAAGGAGGGGGGGGGGCGGAAGGAGCGACCGCTCCCCCTCCCAGAAATTCTTTAAAAATCATGCAGTTTTTTATCATTCTGAACACTTTTCGTATGATTTTTTTGCCAAAACTGTCGAAAAGCTCCCCCTTAGTAAAACCGCTCCCCCAGGTAAATCCTGACTACGGGCTAAGTGAATTGCCAGAGTTTCTCTCTTGTAGGTCTACGTCCAAAAATATCCTGATAGTTCTCTAAAAAAATCGATATTTATAAGAACGCCCATGGGCTTTTCAAGAGATAAATCTCTTCAAATAGACGATCGTGGGTAAAACAAGCAACTCTGGTACATTGTCTCAAAGCATACATGAACGGCTTTAACATTGTTCAATGAAATTAGTCATCACACATGTAACCATTGTCAAATTCTTTGCATGGCAGACATAAAAGTAACATTTTCATGTGGTATAATAGTTGGCTGAACGTAAGTGAAAATAACGCACCGTTGGCCCAAATTTGAGAGTCGAATACTTTTTCTTCAAGGTTAAGCCCTATCCCCCTTTTCACCCCATGAGAAAATATTACACGAACTTAAGATTACCATGAGATGTTGACATTTTGACAGACGAGAACTAAACATGGGGTTTTGTACAATCGACGTAATTTGAAAATGTACAGGAAACATTGGACTCTTCACATTAATATTACTCTATTTATTTGATTCCCCAGAACAATATAAAGAAGGGGGAATATAGACGTGAGTATAATTAATTCAATTCCATGACATTTATCATAAATATTATTACTACTCAACATAATTTGACAATAGAATTAACCCGTTTCTGTCACGATTCACATTGACTCCTAATGTGTTTAGATTTTCCCGCGAAAATCTGCGTCAGAGATTTCAGATTTGCTAATTATAATATTCATGAGCTGACTTTGGGGAAAGGTGAATAATATGGTGTTCTAGTCCTGTAGTGTTGTATTTATTGAAAGTTATTGATTTGTTTAAAAATGAAATCACAGGCCCGGGATCATAGGCCCGTCCCCGAGGGCCCGTCTTAGTAGACGGTCAACATTAATAAGTTTTACATCAAATAACGCAAGAAGGAAGACAGCTTTGGTACAGTTCCATGATCATCATACACCAGGAATTCTATGACTAAGAAATAATTATGAACCAAATTAACTTAACTTATTCTGAATGAACAAAATCAACTTAAAAGCCCCATATAAAGTTTAAACCACTTTGGCTTACATCTTACCCAATGTTATCATAGTGTGAAACGTTTTTTTAAATTCAAAAAGTGGATTTTGAAGGACTTTTTGTTCAAAAATAGTGAATTTATTTAAGACTAACTTTGAGAGGTCACACGTATCTTTTAATAAGCGATAATTCATACCAATACTTAGTATTCATCCTCACATGTTTTTTTTGCCAAAATCTTTTTAAAGGAATATTTTAAACTATGGCAATGCAATTATCGTTAAGTTTCTGGAATTAAATGCCAAAAAAGACCTTGACATATTCATTGAACCCACATGTACATACTCTTGTTTATGTTACAACCAACACAAATATATCGGGTGTTCCAAAAATGAGACATTTTTTGACAAATATTTCCTCCGCAATAAGATTACTCGAATTCATGAGAAATTTCTCTCCAGTAGCCCAAATAATATCCTTATTTAGTGGTACAAATATGGACGAGATTGGTTACATATTGTGAGTAATTTGACAAGTTCAAAATGCGTGTCAAAAATCCAATATCAGAGCTGCGCAATGAGACCGGTACCTTCATAGCGTTTGTGCCAGCTATCAAGTGATGGCATCCCGGGATGGCATCCTGACACTGGCATCAGTTTTTGTCTCAAAAAAGGTTGTCTCTGGGTCAGGTATATTGATTTGTTTCATTGTTAACTGTATCCAAATTCCGTTCTGTCCAAAGTTTTAGTTTGGAAGGATTAACGTTAACGATGTCTTTCAGTGAAAGCGATACGGCTACTATTGAAAATTGTTTCGACAAGGTGAAAGGATGGAGTGGAAGATGAATCCCAGAATCGTAAAGGAATTAAGGGTAAGAGTTGGAGTCATGTCACTGTAAATAGACTACATCCAACATGCATTAAAGGACGGCATAAGTATGTCATGGGAAACGATATCATTGGGAGAAACACACAAAAGCATTTTTGATTGGAAAAATTTCTTCTTTCAGACTCCGTTGATATTGGATATTTTTGCATGCTGTTTCTAATTTGACAACACTCCTCATATTCATAGCACTAGCTAATGATACCAACCCATGCAGACAGATCGCCTAAAACTACATTCGTATGATGCGAGACTCGACTTTCACCGGGAAATTAGAAACATTTTGCCACCCTTAAAGAAACTTATTTTTACTGCTTAATAAATGAGCATTTGTAGATTTCGAGGTTATAAAGTAATACTAGTATCATACTGATGTTCGATCAAAAGTTCGAATTACAGTAATGTTGTGTTTCAAAAATTAATTGACATGTTTTTTCTGTTTCGGAAAATTCGGTATGTGATGTATGTTTTTTAGTTCTTCAAAGAAATCTACAAATGTTTCGTTGCGGTTTTATCTTTACATCGTTTTTTCAATCACCGCCATCACTTTTCAAACGACGTTACCTTGAAATATCAAGACATCATGCTATTCTCATACTTATAAATCGCAATTTGGCTGTCATTCATCATTTATTAAGCAGTAAAAATTAATTTGTTCCTTGGGTGACAAATTATTTCAAGTTTCCTGGTGAATGTCGAGTCTCACATCATACGAATGTAACTTTAGTCGATTTGTCTGCATGGGGTGGATACCCTATACTTCCTCAGTAATTTTTTTTTAAGAATTTAACTTGTCTATTGCTGAGAAAATACTTGTCAAAAGTGTCTCACTCTTTTGGGACACCGGGAGTGTGTTCACTGACGTCCGCACATAACCGATTAACTTATGTCAACGTTTGAAAACCCTGACAACGGTAAATTTAGATACCTGTATTACAAATGGCAGCAGGTTCGTATTCGATTCAATTTTCATCATGGGTCTGTTGAAAGGGAAAGCCCATGATATCCTAAACTAGATTTAATTCCTTTGGTGCAACAATCAATCAAAGTCTTTTCCTACTTATCGTTTATTATGCTCTACCATCGAAATGAATCCTTAATTTTACCGATCAAAATATGACACAGGACAACGGATACTGTAAATGACAACGGTAAATGTGGGTCAAATGTGCTTTAAAATCGGGATGGGAACGGTAACATTTAATGATTGTAATGTAACGCTAGAAGCATTGGCTCTTTATGGTATGACTCCATTAAACATATAAAATACATTTATAAACTATGGCTGTAATAGTTATGATTATGGTCCCCCAGGGGTTATGGTCTCCCCTTCTAAAGGCCCTTCAGGAAAGAGGTCACCATATAAATCAATGGAGAGTAGGACCATAAATTGATAGGACCTCCTACCCTTTTACACCTGTTCCAAACTGCACTGGAGTACTCTAGTTTCGGTCTTTAGTACGAACGAAAAAATTCAAAAAGGCCTTAGTCAAGCTTTAATGTCCTGTTTAAGAGTTCTTTCTTTTGAACATGGATTCAAGCAATACTATCCTACATGATGTACTTAACTTGTTGAGATTCGATCAACTTAAGTTTTCCGAGAAAATGAGAATTTTTTATCTTTTCCCATAGTGACATACATACATAGTGTAATAATAATATACAGGGTGGGCCAAAAAAAATTGCAACCTTTTTAAAAGGCAAAAAAAGTATCATAACATTATGGTATTGACATGAAATTTTTTACAGAAACTTAAGGATAGGCATATTTTACCATTTAAATACTTCAGCTAATACTGACTTCAAGTTTTTTGTCAGATGTTTGAATATTAATTGTAAATTGTTCACTTGTCCGTCCGGGATATACCATTTTTCCTTGAAAATCATTGCGTAAGTCAATTGCGGAAAGTTAAACGTAGATCTCCAATTTCCGCATATGTTTATTAATACGACAGAGAGATGTTTTATGTCCAGCGTACAATTGAGTTACGTGGACGTAAATGGAAATATTTACGTTGGCTTTATGAATAATGCTTCTGTATTGCCCGGCTGTAAAGAATATCTGGGAGCCCCGCTCCCGTTTCTTCTTCCTGTTTCTCCCGTTTGTGTTTCAGGGCACTACTAACACCCACGTCACATTTCCTACGGCCGCCATGCGGTCTATCATTTCTGCAGTCAGCAGCTTTTCTATGCTCGTCGTAGAATTACTGCGCTCTCATACTTTTGCAGTCACATTTCCCACGGCAGCCGCACGGCGAATTTTAAATTTCTGTTGATAAATAATACTTATTTTCATTTTATTCACATCAGGACAATTTATAAAAGTTATTCATAGTGCTAGGATGTAATATCAAATGAAAAGTGTTCGTGAAACATTGACAAATAATGATTTAATCTTGTTGAGCCAGTTGATTTCTACAGGCACCGCAGAAATGAACAAATATTATAACTCCGAGTTATAATTTCTACGGCGACTCTGCGGCCTGTAAAAACTGGCCATGGATACGCCGTACGGAGACTGCAAGGCGAGCGTAGTTTTCCTACGCTCGCCGTAGAAATACACTGATTTAATTGATCTGCGGTCGACGTACGGCCGCCGTAAGACAAATGTGACTGGGGTGTAGAGAATCATAATTTTTTTCATTGTTGTTATTTGCACTCACCTCATCATACGTCTAGTTCCCATTGTCATTTCTCAATTTCAATTCAATTCTAATTGACGATATGGAAGGCGGTATAGTGGCTATAGTGGGAGATGTGGTCTTTAACTTTAACGGATTTCAATACACATCCCCTTTTCAGGAATCGTTAATACAGTGTAGAAGAATATTTTGATATGTTTAAATCGAGAAAAACAAGATCCTCTTTTTAGAAAATGAGCCTAACATTTTTAAAAAGTGCGAAGGTGGGGGTCCTAATTTTTCAGAGAGTTTGAATGATATTTTACTATCATGGGGACTTCACTTGAAAGAAAACATATTGTTTTAATAAAAACCACTGTATTGATGGCCAGAAAGTGCACATGGTGAAAAATATGACCGTCTAAAATCACTTGCCATACGACAAATGGACCTTTGGATTTTCATATAATATACCATCACAAGTTCACAGAATTAGCGACGATAAGGTCCCGTGAAATGAAAAAGTGATTAAAGAGTAGATGTGATGGTTAAGTCAGTCATCTGTGACAACGGTAGCTGACTTTACCGTTGTCAGGGTGTTCCGGTGTAGGTAGCAAGACAGTTTACCGGAGACCATGGGCTTTCAACTAGCCCATGCGGAGACAAATATACATGATTTCAGAATAAAGTGAATGTAGATAGTTTGTCGATATGCAACTCAAGAAAGGAAATAATGCAATAAATAATTGATGGTGAACTGACTTTTGGTAAAACAATAATATTTCTCACCTTGCTTCGTTCGTTAAAAAGACAAGCCAAAGAGGCGAGAAACGTTAATGTTTTAAATTATAATTATTCAATACACCATGAAGAGAAAACATGTTTATTTTTGATTTACACAATTTTAATTTTAACTCAATCAACCATCATGAGAAATAATATGAAGAGAAAACCATGTGAACGATGATGCGCTAACGAACTTCAGTTTCTCTATTTTTCAATGCATAGAAATGGCCATTTACCAAGGTACATAAGTATGTTTTGGAGGGCATGAAACCGCAATTTCTTCAGCTTTCTGTCAAGTGCTCGCGTTGCATAAGCCAACGCAAATTGTGACATAATCTATGAGATAATTAAAACCCCACAAATATTGCTCTACGACAACCTTGCGACACCCCCTTGGGGTGTCGTGGGTTTCACACGATAGCTATTGTCTTTCTACGACAGGTGTACGACATGGTAGTTTGTCGTAGGTTTACGACAAATTTCTGGAAACGGAAATCTTTTACTTGTCGTGAAAACACAATTGAAGTTACGATATCGTAAGTCTACGACATTTTTGGAAACGACCCCCAGAATAGTTGGTTTGCCTTGAAAATAAGAATCGTTTCCGTTTGCAATTATTATTTTATTTATTAGTATCACCGTATTCTTATTCTCTTCATGACGCATCGAAAATATGATATGCGTTGGTCTCAGTTATAAATTTTCAGTTAGTTACCTGCTGTCAACTTGTCCAGTATGTATTAAATATTATCACATGAAGTAGATCTTCAACACTTTCAACAACGAAGATAAACAGCACTTGTGAATAACATGGTACACTTCAGATCGCATGTGCACAAGCTGTTGATGTGGTGGCTTGATCCTGAGATAAATATTTCACTGATTCCTCTAAATGTAATTTTGAATCATCTAGGCCTGTTAAAGACGCAGTTAAACGTAAAACACATTTATTTTCAGTTATAATATGTTTGAACGGCCATCAACAGTGAAACAAAAAATGAGATGTCTCGGGGAGTGTTGCTCCCTCGACGACACATCGTCTTTACTCTCTTGTCGGAACTTGCACAATATGATCTTGTTGCTTCCAACACTTTTCACTCTCTATCCCTTCTACTTCCTTTATGTTGCGTCTTGGATGAAGACGTGAAGTCTTTTCATAAATCACATTATAAAGCATATGGGCAACGGTAGTGGGGGCGTTTCTGACCAAAACATTTAAATCTTTTCCAGTTACTAATACTAACTTGGCATTGGGGAAGCCTTCTACTCAATCCACAACTCAGTATTCCTCCGAGCTAGCGGTCGACGGAAATACAACCGGAGATGCAGGGCTTGGCCTCTGTGCTCAAACAGGTAACGATCTCTTTTAGAATGTAGATATCCCTCATTGTGTTTCTCGATCATGATCTTACACTTAATTGAGCCTACATTGGAAAGTATCATTTTGTAACTAAGAGTCACCTACAGACTCACCACACATGGATAACACTTTTTTGTGGTGGAGCTGCCGGTTCATCTTTTATAAATAAAATTCTGTATTGCAGAGCCCGAAGAGCGACCTCATTGGTTTGTTGATCTAGGTCCAAAGAAATATCTAGTCTCTACAGTTGTGATACATTCACGCACAGATTGTTGCCGTAAGTCAGTAGCTACAAATATTCTTGAAATGTATAATGTACTTCAGCTAAACAAGAGGGTCGTTAGTAAGTAGAATTAGCATGCATGAAGGTTTTTACTGTCGAATTAGCAAAATTGAGACGTTTTGGCAGCAAAGCCATATTTTAAGGAATAGAACACGTTGTTCTGGGCCTGTCAGTTGGTGTTAGGGTAGTCAAAATATTGGTTAAAATGGTGGAGCTGCCGGTTAGTTTGAATTTGTAAAACTTTTGAATGCCAGACATCATTAAGTCCAGCCTATAGTTTTATTTAATAATTACAGAGTATGACCTGAAAAACTTTGAAATCAGATTATGGTCCAACACTCCTAACTTCAACAAAAAGAGCAACAGTATTATTTGCAAGCATTACATGGGAGCTGCCACGAGAACAACCCTGCATGTTAGCTGTGATCGACAAGTATACGGGAGGTACGGAGACATCAGGTGAATATAGTCCAGTTTCTAAACATCAGCTTTTTGGCCTTTGGTTCAGGGTGCGGCATAAAAGTATCTTTCAGGTTTGAAATGTAGCTTAGTACCTGTAGTGGTGTAGCAATGGTAATGGGTCCAGTCGAATACATTCTAGTTACTAACATTTAGTATTGCTTTAAGTTTTTTCTCTCACTTATTTCCGTGACTGTTTCAGAGGTGAAAAACATTTGAGTGGACCCCGTAGGTGACACACGACATGATAAAACTTAAAACCAAGATCTGTTTGATTTGTTTGTGATTTGAAAAATCGAACACACTATTTAAATGTAGCGGTCATTCTATAGTTGAATGGTTTTTAGATTGATGGTTATTTTTACATATAAAAAAACAGAATATAAGCCACGTGAAAATAAAGAACAGAATTGTGGAGGGAAAATGCATACTTTCAGAATGGCAATTTAGAAACTGGATGGAAATTAGCCAGATGTCAAAATGACTGTTACATATTTTAATGTTCAAAAACAATACTCTTATAATAGTCGCTATTGGCGAGTGTCTATAATTGTTGTTTTGGCGAGTGTCTCTAATTGTTGTTTTGGCGAGTGCCTCTAATTGTTTTGTTATTGTCTTTTTGCTTATTACACATATACTGTTCTCAATCAATCTTTCTTATTGTTTAGTCGTTTGTTTGCAGGTTTGTGAGCATCGAGTTACTACAAGAAGAAAATGACATTGTTAGCAAACAAAATCTTACACTTTGTGAAGTCGGTGTGTATCGATAAAGCTGACATCTATCTGAGTCAAGAAAACTCGAGGAAATTATGATCCTCGGGACTACAGTGGACTATAGCCCCCCTTTCATATCCCTTTGGTCCTGGAAACATGTAGCTGTTACCCAATCATCTGCCTATAAAGAGTGAGACAGATTTTCCGAGGGGCATCAGTCTTTAGGACAAAATATTGTGCAAATGTCTTGTTGCAAAACTTGAACAGTTTGCAGAAATGAGAGGATCAGCTGTAGAGGAGTTCTTCGAATTAAAATGTGTGCACTGATACAGTATGTGCTGGTGTTAAATAATCAAGTTCGGGATACCATTTTAGATTGCTTGTGTTAATGACAAAGTAGATCCCTGGACGAAACCATAAATGGAAGGAATATTAAATAATTGTATTGTGAAGAATGAATTCATTGTTGATAGTGTTGGATCGATGAATTCAACCGTGGATGTCTATCACAGAGGATAAAGATAGAGGTCCATGATTCACATCTCACATGTGATGTCTCTTGGCAACATATGATTGTTATTTGAACGTTTGTTCTATTTTATGTGTTTTATAATAAAATGCAATTTGATACAAGATACATTTTGGAAGGTTCTTGGTATTCAAATGCTCTATACCATATCAAAGAAAGATCTGCAAAGGATTGGTATCGATATGGTGAACTGAATTCAACATTGTTTTTCTCTCAAACCAATTATTGAAAACATTCTGTAAAAAACAAGGTCCTTTATGTAATGGTCACTAATTGACAACACTTTCGATGCGAAAATTATTCACATATATTTTATTTTATTGTTTTGTGAAAAATTTTTGTTTTTTAGTGTAATTGTTATTTGTTCCTTTCTACCAATTCTTGAGAATGAAAAAGAAGACCTTCCCGAACCTTGTTGGAACAAGATAGCAAAAATTCAACATTTTCATAGATCTCTCAGTATTGTAGTTATACAAAGAAAAGTTTGGTTCATTTAACAAAAAGTATTCAAAAAATTAAAACAAAACCCCCCAAATAGATAAAAATTAAAGTAAACCTTTTATTTCATTAACAAGATACTTTTTTAAATGAACCAAACTTTCTTTTGTAAAGTTACAATATAAGAGACCTAAACACATTGTGTATGTCATTTTGTTCCAAAGAGGTCCAGATGGATGTTTCATTTAATTCCGAGCATAAGATACCGAGAACAAAAGAAGTGTCTGGTGTGTTTTCTAAAACAATATAGAGAAAAGTATTTTTTTCAAATAAAATTGTTACCATTCAAAAGATGATCATTAAATTGACGATGTGTAAAATTTTCAGAATTTTTTGATGACTGGTTAAGAGAAACACGTGTTCAATTCAGTTCGCCATATCGATACCAATCCTTTACATATTGATTAACGAGGTAGTGAAGTGATAGGTAGTTTCAGACTCAGCGAGCAAAAACAAAATCCTTACCAAAAACTTTCAGTTTAGAATATTTTGGCCCATATCATTCCTTGTCATATCTATTTTTTCAACACCCTTAAGTGCATTATTTGAGGACAACTGCAGATTTTTAGAATATTGCATTCATTGTTCTAAAGAGGTGGATACCATACGCATTATTTGGGAAAATTTAAACACTTTTCCAAATTTTGGCTCAATGAGTTTTAAAATAAATTAACCAGTTAATAACATACCGTGCAACTTTTGAGAAACATTATATTTGAGGTCGTAATGAATATACATAGGAAATGTTGATCGGAATTTTGTCATTCCCTAAAGATCCTTTTCTGCCTTCAATCTTTCAAAAAAAAATTGATCGACTTCATGATAAATCGGACAGGATTTTCAAGGATATTCCCATTCATTGTAATCATACGCTTCCTTATCGTGACAATCATATCTGATAAAAGCGGATATGCCCAATATAGTTATCAGGATGACGATGATATAAGATGTGTGTGTTTGAGGCTTGGTTTCACAACAACGAATGAACCAAGAGTACGAGCACACCACAAAAGTAACCCAATATTAAAGTGTCCACGTATCATCTGAGGAATCATGTGGATGGTCCAGAGATTTATCCTTGTTGTTATTTCAGCAATTTGCATTCAGGGAAATGTAGTAAAAAGTAAGTATTTATACAACCAAAATAAAACAATTATTTCTATTACTGAACATGCTGAACAATATGGGATGAAATTCAACAAGGTTCTGAAATCTCCGTCACCTTTTCAATGATGATGATGTCCGTGACGCAAATGATTTGATCGGTTGATGAAGGAAACATACTAGACCTTGTGCTTTCTTCTTTTTTCGGACTCTTTACACAGAAAATATGAAGCTGAAAGGGTAGACTAGGCTTTAGGCTATAAATCCACATAAACTAAATCTGAAATATTGCTAGCTCCTAAAATTTCAAATTAAAATGGCTACTTGATCTACAGGAAACAAAGGTGATGACGAGGTGTGTTATGACAAATTGGGCTGCTTCAGCAACGGAGGTCCTTTCTGGGATCGTGCCATTGCCTTCACTCCCGAATCCCCCGAGGTCATAGGAACAAAGTTTTACCTGTTCACCAGAACCAACAGAAACAAAGCTCATATTCTTGTCACTGATGATAAGAATACTTTATCCAGTGTGTATGACCCCAAGAAAGAAACGAAGATAATTGTTCATGGGTTCATCAACAGCGCTGAAACGCCTTGGAAAGAGGTAAAGCTGAACGCAATTGATGCTATCAAAGAACTTTATAAGAGTGATGGTATTCTTGTTTGATACCATTGTGAGCTGGATGTGGTGTATATGGGGATCAAGCTAAGAGACTTGATGCAAGAGTAGACTAGAGTGAACTGCAAAAGTAGGGCAATATATAAAATACGATATTAGCCTTTAGTACAGTTGACCATCTTCCCCATGCTGCAAAACAGTGTCACGATTATCAGAGTTTCTCTTTATTTAAAGGTTGTATTCCAAAGGATAGTAGAGATTGGACCCCACAATGCATCTTCCCTGTTCTAATTATTTTTCCTCGGAATCTGGACAATGTCGATCTTGATTCTCTTAATGCCGGTTATGTTTTAGGAGATGACAAACGCCCTTTTGGACTATGGTGACTTCAATGTGATAGTTGTGGATTGGAGAGTTGGTGCATTACCATTGTATTCCCAAGCTTCTGCCAACACACGAGTAGTCGGGGCACAGATCGCCAGACTCATTACTAACTTAGAGGTACATGATTCTCATTTCCATGGGGCTGGCAAAGAGTTCTTCGAATGCATTCTCATTCAATTTGTAACATCCTGCTTGCATATATTGATATTAAATTGTATATCGCAGGACACATCATTAATTTTCCTTTAGGGGTCCTTAATCGAGGAGCCTGACTAACAGTTAGTTACTATTCTGATGATAAGCTATGAGTTTGTTAGTTCGTAGTTACATAAACCATGGACCTCTGCATAGCATTAAATCCTATTTTCCAAATACTTTTCACTTTAAGGATGTGTACCGATGAATTCATGACATCTATTTCAGAGCGCTACCGGTGTGAAGCCTGAGACGTTCCACATCATTGGTCACAGTCTAGGTGCCCATATTGGAGGCTATGCTGGAGAGAGAATCAACAGACTGGGAAGAATCACTGGTAAGTGTAACCCGGGAGACTGTGTAACATGCTGTATGTTTAGGACGCCTAGATGGTACTACATACTTGAGTAAAAACGGTGCAACTCATGCAGGATCTCGCTGATTAACTTGGATCTTCATGTTTAAATGTAGTGATTCCCTATGGTGGATTTATTCGCGCAGTTCCAGTGTCTCAACGCATCTGCTGAAATACTGAAATGACCAACGTCCCCATGATTTTTCCAAGTGGGATGAGTCGGAATCTAAAAAACAGTCTCTGTCATCATAGGTTGCGCTTGAAACCTAGCTTCTCCAACTCTCGCCAAGGCAAATCGTTCTTCTTTTCTCAGAGTCTCCTCCTTAGCATCCTTAAAGAAATCCCCGGGATTAGCTAAAAAAATGGGTTACATTCGCCCATTAAATGTATGCGCATGTATTTTCAGGTATGGACCCAGCTGGTCCTTACTTCGAGGGAAGAGAGATTGTGGTTAGGCTGGATCCAACAGATGCACTGTTTGTTGATGCTATCCATACTGACGGGAAGTCTCTATTAAATACTGTAAATCTGAATGGAGGTAAGAATGTTTTGATAGAAGCTCTCTTAATTCACGCTATTTAATCAGAACACACCAACCGTGTTCTGTGTTGAAACTCCGTCGTATATTTTCAAGGGTTTGAAATGTCTAATTTTGGTAAAAATTTCTTGGTTAAACCCGGCTCGAGAAGATCAATTGCTCCGCGCTTTCCCAAAAATATTTCCAAAATAAAACAAAACGATACATTTAGAAATAAGGTTTAACCGGTTATTTACAATATTTCAGATATTAGAAGCCATTTTGTTAGAATTTAGAAAAGGAAAACAATCTCGCACTATAGAGGTCTATGCCGTTTTCAATAGGGAGTTTAAGCTTGCATATAAAATTGAAATGCCAACCTATACGTATGATCCATCGCCCATACAAATGCATTGCTTAAATATTTTCCGTTCACGTTTAGCATAAACTCCCTAATACGTTCATGTTGATAAGTTTGTAATGATAGATCTTAATAAATGGTCATGGTCTGGCGCTTTATCGAAATCAGACGTTCGATCGCAATATATCAACAATTAGATAAATCCGAACAGAGATAGAATAAATGACAATGAAATGTCAAAGTTTGACTATAAACTAACAATATTGTAATAACTATCATTTGTGTATTTAGGCTATGGTATTAAAATGCCTGTGGGCCATGTCGACTTCTACCCAAATGGTGGCCAAAACCAACCATCTTGCAAGAACAACATCATTGGTGAAGTCATTGATAAAGGCTTGGTTGATGGTGAGCAAGTTCGTTATTTAAGTCCCCGGATTCAAGTCCCAGTTCCATATTATAAAATCCCAAAAGATTCATTTCATCATTAAAATGGTGACTGTATTGAAAATTCAGATAAAGCCGTAAAATCGTAACAACATGATCGTATTCACTGTCCTAATTGGTTACTGAATCTAAAAATAATAGATGTGGCCATACTCACGTTTCTTTCACTCCTGTTCTAGAAAAGAGCATGGGTGAATGGAATAAAAGGATAGAGAAAATACACATCTTTTCCTCTGATTCTAGGATTGTGGGGCTTGTTTCCTTATAACCGATTGTATTCCTTTTACGATTATTTAAAGACTTTTAGGACTTCCCCTTTTGATATTTGTGGTTATAATCCACATTTTATTGATGGCATACAATCTAACTGTGGCATGTACAACCTACAAATATTATTTTAGGTGTTCAGCATATAGCATGTGATCATAGAAGTGCATATTTCTACTTCATCGACTCCATCAAAAATAGGACTCCATTCACTGGCTATGCGTGCAATTCATATGAGAAGTTTGAGGTATGACCATGCATAAAACATCAGATGCAAACATTACAAGTACGGAATACTAGTAGGCTTACATTACGACTGGTCTCATAAAAAGAAAGGTGTAACTTGGAAGATTCATTCAGATATCACATGCCATTTTATAGCCATTTGTGAATTTTTTTACCCTAGGATGGTGGGTGTTTTGAAAATGTTGAGACATCAGAAATGGGATTCTTTGCCAAACCTCTAAGCAAGGTGAACACAAAACTCTACTTGGACACAGCCTCCAAGAAGCCATTTGCAAGTAAGTTGGACATCAATTAACACTGGTAGGCATTAGCAACCTTTAATATACAGTAGCATTTACTCCTGACTTTGATCTGTTCAATTGGAGAATATGATTTCAAACTGGCGCTCGTGGCCAGTGTCTTGGCCATTTAATCTCACTCAAGTGTAGCCATTTAAAATCTAAAATAAAAAAGATCAATTTAACACATTCATTCAAGATCAGATATTTCTTGACACATGTCATCAGACACTTCTTGACACTTGACTTTCAGAGTACCACTATAAGATCTCTGTGAGTCTGGGCTCTATGTCAAGGTCGGAAAGGGGCAAGATGTTTGTTAGAGTATTTGGGACAAAGGACAGGATTGATGCTAAAAAAATAACTGAGTAAGTAAAATCTCTGGGAATTTTTGATCCTATAAGTTACACTTTCAATCTTCAATCTCTATACATGTATTTATCGTTTAAGCCTGATCAAAAGTACATGTAAAAAGAGTTAGGGATACTTTATACATGTATAATGTAAATCACTTCCTTTTCAGTGACATTGAAATGGAATCTGGAAAGACCTACACACTCCTGTTCACAAGTAGATTGGACATTGGTGAAGTGACGAGAATTCAATATTACTGGGAGCACAATTCTAGCTGGCTTAGACCAGACCAGTGGAACTTATGGAGGGATCCTGTAATAGTGGTCAACAATGTGCAAGTATTTACAGCAAACAAAACCAGGTACATTTATATACACAATTTAATTAATATTAATTTAAGTACAGTATCACTATTTAGTATCAAAGAAATTCCACATTTGTCCAAAATTGAGCGTAATTAATGAACAAGTTGCTGACTTATTATATTGCTCAACAGATATATATCATAAATGAACTTCATTTTAATGAAAAAGTCATGAAATATAGTAAATGATTGATAAAAAACATATTTTCAAAAACTTAAAAATGGGGCCTTTAAGAAAACAGGCACCCAAATTGCATATGAACTGATCATTGCTAAAACAAGCCAAATATGGAGATTTTGTGTTTCAGGAACTTGTTTTGTTCAGCACAAAAGATGGCCAACAATAAATTCTATGACAAGAATGTATCAAAGAGGTCTACTTGCACTGGTAATGCAAATGTTGTGGGGTAGAAATTACAATACAACAGAAGCAAAATACACCAATCTTTAAAAAAGACTTTCCACACTTGTTGTGTTGTGTTGTTGTTAAATATATTGTCAATATCTTTATTCAATATGCATGTACAAACTGAGTCTAAATATTCAGATACAAAATGGTTAACAATACACCTCAGACATTGGTAGAAAAATTCAGATGCTAATAAATTGAAGACTTTTGGTGTTACGAATGTCAATGTGTTCCTTCAAAGAACACACAAATTAAGTAAGAGGTAAACCATTTTGGAACTTTAAGATCACGATGAGTAGATCTAATGTTTTCAAGTTCTACATGCATGTACTGCATGTATCACAGATATTTAATCATTGAATAATCCCTTGACCGCAAATTATGCCCTTGTATGTTACAGTCCAATATTTCCCAGTACAAATTTTGTAATCTAATGACTTTCTCATAAAGAAACTTTGAAATGTGAATGCCTGCTATTGGAAACAATTTTGGCCAGTCACAGTGGTGTTTGCATTCGACAGGTTTTACTGTACACTGATTTAGGGTTAAATATACATTTACAATGACCCAGTCAATGTTGCATCGTTCTCTACAGCACACCTGCATAGATACATGTTATCAGTGCCTATGCATGCATTGTTACATGTACCATTTCCTTCCTTGCATTACCATCATGATTATTGAAGAAATCCATGGTATATTGTCATCCATTCATTGTTCTCTATACAGGATGGATGTTACCCTGCGTGCAGAGTCTAGTTAAACTACACTCTGCCTAGTAGAGACCATATTACAGTTTAGTAGCCCCGCCGCATGACAGGTACCGGTGACAGTATGGGTAAATCACTTTTGACCTACGCGCTGACCTTCCACCACTCAGCGAGCTTGAAGAAACATACGGCAAATGCGTTCTAATTAAATATGCGCATGTCATTGGTCAATTCCGGGCTCAACGATGACGTCAGAAGGAATGACCATATAAAGAACGTCGGTCAAATTTGGCCGACGTACACTGATTGGCGCGGTGAGTTCACAGGTTTATTTTAGTTTGAAAGAGTGAAGACGAAGCTCTCTTTTAAGAAGTGTAGTCAAACGAATGCAAAGGGTAGATGGATGTCTGCCAAGATGTGCATGCATTGAATCCTAGTCATGTTCCTGTACCTTAAATCACACCACCAGCAGTATCCCAGCTCACAAGAAGAACTTTCTTCGGCTTGTTTCCATTTCATGTCGCTGAAACATAGAAGAAAGATTCTTTAGGAAAGTCTGAGAAAAATGAGCATCACAGTATATAGGCAGGGGTCCATTCAATTATGCTTGTATACTTCCAAAGTCATTCCATACTAAATTGCAGTTGCCATTAACAACTTATAGACAATTCACACAAAGGTCAAGGAAATCCAATGTGAAGTGGTTTAAACTAAAAGGAATAAATATTGCACTGGATGGAAACGAGCAAATCAAACATGTATATGGACTGAAATGAACTACATGTACTTATTTATTCTATTTCACTTTGGGGTAATTTATTGTGATTTCAAAAAAATGTTTCATAAGAAATAGCTGATGTTTTATATTGGAAAAATATGATTTAAATAATTTATAGGGATTTGCGTATTTTCCAAATGGTGCCCTTTGGGATTTCTCATCGTCACTTGAAAAGTACATAAAATATTGAATATTTTCCTTACCTTATGAACCCATTCATATTCGCCAAACTTGGAATCAAATGTGCCTTTTTGTAACGATCGTAATTTTAGAGTAAACCGTGGCCCAAGCTCATGAAGTCCAACTTTTTTAGCATTTCTGAACTGGTACCTGAAATTTAAGTAAACATGTTTTGTTGAAATTGGCCTGAAATATTTTCAGAACTTCCCATTTTTGGAGAAATAATATTTGAAAATATAGGTTATTTATTTTTCATTTCATCTTATAGAATAGAAAAAGTTTCATAACAACTTTTAATTTCTTGAAGTTGTGCTGACTATTTGAAAAAGGCGCATGACTAAAATAAAAAATCATTTGATGACCATGAATCTCGGTAAGGAGAAAATTTAGTTAAGATTGTAATGTATGATGTCAGTGTGAAGCTATAAATTGTACAAGGGCAGTGCTTGAAACAGCAAGACTTCAAAGTCAATATTTTGTTTGACTGAGGAAAATGTAATGACTTGTCAAAAAGTTGTCAAGCATGCAACAAATCTTGATTTCTCTGGTGTCACTCAAGAACTCCTCAAAGTATCCTTACCTATGATGTCTAAAGAATATGTAGTCTCGCTGATTGTGGAAAGTGGCCACCCTACGTCCAGTAAATTGAGGATCATGAGGGAATAGAGATGCCAACAAGCGACCAATAGAGTGACCTAAACGTGTGTTGAAATTATTGAGAACCACCTCAGGAAAATGACTAGTGGATTCACCATGGTTCTGAAAAATTCATAACATTATGTTTGTAAAAAGCACTCAAAGTTCTCTCTGATAGAAAATCTTTTTTTAACACATTTTTTGTATATAATTTTCCTTTCCTTGTAAGTAGATAAAGACATGTTCACACCTAATTGTAATCCATCACACACAGTTTAGCTACAGTACATATGGTATTTACCTTTATTTCTTTATCCATTTTGACATTTGATAGTTTAAAATGTGCAGTTGGTCCATTGGGCAAATGTGAAAGTATCAAACCATCTGATATGTGTAAAGGAATATATAACAACAATATACAACATTTACTAACACAAAAATCTATGATGGGAAACACATTTTTTTAATGCAACAAAAAAGTATTTGGGAAACCTGCGACAAATCTAAATGGAAGTAAAAATTTGATAAACAAGGCATAACATGCTAAATGTCACCATTTGTTACAGATGCCAAACACCACTCGCCAACTCTGAACACAAAAAGTTGGAGACTGTATCAATACTTCACTATTTTTGGTGGTGACATTGCAAAACATAATATAAGTGACAATGAAAGATGTTTTCAATAAATAGATCATTTTAATCTATCAGAAGATCATTTTTCATGTATTATTTTTAAGGATACTAGGTACTTTTCTATCTTCATTGATTACAACTAGATCTGTGTATTCCTTCTCTATGGCTTGTGGGATAACTTTTTTTAGGTCAAGACCACGTCTATAGAACACATCTGAATTTGGGATGACTTTTTTTAGCTGCTTGCAGAATGCATTGGTTCTCTGAAATAATATGTTTCAACATTTTAAGATATTGAACAGTAATGATAAAGTTAACCTTATCACTTTTATAAGTATCAGGTTACTCATAACAATGCCTGGGCATTAAGTAAAGGCTTAATTAATAATCTTACTTTTACATGACCTTAAATTTCGCGGTTCAGCCTCTTGGTCGAACCGGAAATCAATAATTTCAAAAATATTTAAATTTTTTCTTTTGCATTATTTTTTGGTCAATAACAACAAAATTGGTCAAAATAAGTGAACAAAGCAGTATTCTATGAATGTATTAATATTTATTTCACAACTTTATATAACAATTATAGGGAAATAGCGTGGAAAGATGCAATTATATTTTGGTAAGATTTTTCTTTATCGGGTGACGTCATAAACCCGTCAAATCGATCATATATGATCGATTAGGCATCAGGGAGTTAAACCTCTTAACACACAATATACACACTGTGTCAAATTGAAATAATAATATGTTTTGTAAATAATTTGAATAGAACAATAAACAATTAAACTTCAAATAGTTAATTCCAGGTGTTCTGAAACTTCCAAGGTAATTTAAGAAAAATCCCCGATGGGCATTTATTTGAGAAAAGATATTAATCCCAAGTCTGGAGAGATATTTCACCATTTTATGACCAAACTGATGGAAAACTAGCCTGAGCTCTGATTGAGAAAATCTGGTAAATAAACATGAACAATTCTATGACTAATGTTTGGAACAATACAAAATAAGTTAATATTTCCTATGCGCATATACCATGCACACTATGTTCTATTCATGAAAATTTCATATATCAAATGAAATAAGATCTTTATTTGGATAAGTTATTTTGTCTGGCGTACCTTCAGATATAGCGAGCAGGCTAAACAAAAAATTGTTTCAATTTTAGAATATTTTTGGCTCATGTCATTCCTTGTCATGTCTATTTTCTAAAAATCACAAAAGTGCATACTTTATTCAAGGCAAACTAAAGATTTTTACAATAATGTATTATTTTTCTATAAGAATGGTTACCATTCTTATTATTTGGGAGAAATTAAACATTTTTCACACATTTTTGCACCTTGAATCATTAATAACTTCACCAATTTATAACATATTGTGAATCTTTTGGGAGATATTGTTTTTGATATTGTAACGAATAGATTGGTAGGTCAGTTATACAAGTTGCTTGTAATTTTGTCACCCCCTATAGATCTGATTCTGCCTTTAAGAACATACCCCTTTTGGACGATCAGAAGTTGTTATAAGAATTTTAGGTGTTGTTTCTCTATTGAAATATGTGGCAGTCTCATCAGTTGCTTCATCTTGAGCAACCTCCTCATCCTCTGGGTTGACCATGGTCTCATCATACACTCTCTGGTTCTCTATGGTCTTAGGGATCTTCTTTGGTGGAGCCTGAAGTCGCAGCAATGCGGTATTATAACATGCAAACTTAAAAATGAAACTATGCATGGGTCATCTTTTTCAAGAGAGAAACAGGATATTTTTATGTTGAGTTATCATATTCTTGAAAATATGCTTGCTTAAAATTCTCAACAGAAGACAGCTTTAAGATAAAACATGAAGAATTGAAAACTTCCAGGTGTTCACAGGAAATTCTAATTGAAATCATAAATAGCAATTTTGCTAGAAATGCACCAATATAAATTAAAATTTGCACCATTGGCTAAAATAATTTTTTAACAAATCATATTTCAGAATAAAAGATCTACCAGAAACATGATGAACTTATTCTAACCTCACCCCAAAGTATTCTTTCTTCAATACTAAGAATATAGTGTCATGTTCCCAAGATTCTAAAAAACGTAAGTTTTATGATAGACTATATACTGTACTTTACATTTTACAATACCTGCATGTAGTATGTATACAAGCAGTGTACTTTACCTTGTCTCCAAGAGCCTCCCTTTCTTGTCTTTGTCTCTTCTTTGCTTTTTTCTTTTCCTGAAATATTCACAACTTAGGTTAACACATGTTTTACACAGCAAGGGGAATTCTAAAAGGGAAATGGGCTTTTAGTGCTTTTTTGCTTTCACTGTTTGTGCAATAAAAGAGCATCCAAATATTAAACAAAGTATATGAGACTATGATCACCAATACTAAATAAAGGCTGTAAATGCTGTATGGAAGCAGCAATTTCAAAATCTGTGTGAGGGAGAGAGGTTTAATGCTTATTGCGTTGCTGTAGAACGAAGTGCACAACTACAGTGCTGATACAAGATAATTGATAAGTCGTATAGTTGGCATATTTTCTTAAATTTTAACATTTAATGTCCCAAACTCCCCCAAACTGCAGAAAAGAACACACCATAAATCATATTTACCAAAATGAGTGTCTCCAAGGCTTCATACCAGTGTATGCATAATGCACTTGTCACGAGTTTGAGATGAAATTTCGCTAAAATGAAATAAGGGTAATCTCCACCAGGTTTGTTTATTGTGGTTAGCTCTTAATGGTAAGTGCTCAGAAGCAAACAGTGCTCTGTTTAGTTTGAAAACTTGCCCTTTATTTTGTATCAGCACTATATTTACCAATTTCTATATACCATCCTCACATATACATGCATAATGTTCTGGATATCCAACATGGTTTAGATTGTAAAATATATCATGAATTCAAATTCAAGAATGACAAGAATTTTGCAATGCTGCTTTTGAAATATGATGATATCCACACCGAGCGTTTTATTAGAAGAAAATATAGTCTGAGACATTATAAACCTCAACCATCAAAAGTTGTCACAATTAGTGTTGTCGCGATTAATCGATACATCGCGATATACATCGCCAAAGCTGATTCTGGCGATGCATCGATGTCTGAAACAAAACATCGATGTTTTTAAAAAAATCAATTTGCTAAAAATCACCCTTTCTTATCTTATTTTGACGCAAATCGCTTACCTTTCTCATGTCTTATTTCATTTTCCAATGTTTTCTGATATTCTTTCGCTTTAAAACTGTTTTAGCTAGTCGAAATGAACCATTAATCTAAAAAAATTACTTTACTTTCATTTCACCCTTACTAGAAGTCCCCGGATGTACCGGATGTTCGGTATTTTAGTGCATTAGCGTTCGGTATTTCAGTGCACTTTTCTCGGACTTTTTCTCGATGTACATCGCGATGTGCATCGATGTTTACTACTGAAAATTGCCGATGCATCGATGTACGATTATGGCACATCGCGACAACACTAGTCACAATGAGCTAAATTCTAAGTTTCATCATGGGCTTTCAACTAGAAGAAAAATAATATTCCTGCTCACTCTAAGTAGCACAATAAATGAATCCAAAGCTTCATACCTGCAAATGATGGATAAAGTCCTATCAAATCAAACGAAGAATCGCCATGTTTGTGATCCAAGGAGGATTGACTCCCAGAATGTAACATCAGTTAAACTTATTTACTCGTAAAATAGCAAAACAGCATTTTGAAAGCTGGCACGTGTCTTGTTGCATTCTGGGAGCCAATCCTCCTTGCGGTGTAATCGGGGTCCAAAATCACAGAGTCGGCATAACATGTGATCACTTCAAATTTCGTCGCGTGAGAATAACTTTGTACTAACTGCCATTTTCAAAAAAATTGAGATAGACATGGAATTTACTATTTGAAACACAGGCTTTCATCTCAGATACATGCCCCATCTCAATTCCCTCTCATTAAGCTAGAATTCAGTGTGAAATTGTACCATCTCCAGACAAACAGCTTATTTCTAATTTCAAATTGTCATATCTGATATCAACTGTTTCAACCAATCAACTGTCTAAGAATTGGTCATGTGACTTGCAAAACTTGGAGTTATAACGATCTTATATTAAAACGAAGTATGCCAATGTGCATGTTATTGTATCTAGAATGAAATAATGTTTTGTAACAATACCATGCCAGTTTGCATGCCTGGCCTTTCATGTTTTAGTTTTAGAACTATTACAAGTAGATCAAAAAAATAAAATGATACAGTATGTGTAATCCCATGCATATTCAAATTATATGCCCTCAATTACTCTTTGTATTATGGATGCTCATTGGATTATTCATGGCCACATGATATGAAATAGAATTACTAATTTCCTCGAAAACCTAAATCCTCGCTACCAGGGAAGATGAAAAGTATGTAAATGACCAGTTAATTAGATCATGTGAGCAGTCAAAAGTACCCTTTATCTTCCCTGCTACCAGGTCTTATAGGGGTTTGAATGGCCAAATGCAATAGAAATGCATATACGAAGCTGTCATCATTAAATGTTGAAAATGAAAGACTACTTATTTGTTTCTTCAAATAGAGTACATAATAATAGATATAGTAATCAAAACAAATAGTAACTGTCATATTTTGCACTACATTGCTCAAAGGCAATCACTGTCTGTATACTATTGAAATCTCTTTCAAAATGATGTTTTATAGTTTGTGGAAAAAAGCTAAATCTATTTAAACTAGCTTTAACTTTTACTGACCATACACTATATCAATAAGGAGTTATCTTTATGTTAGTAAAGTCCCTTAAAACACTTATTTTATTTTCTCTTCATCTATGATTTACTTTGCGCTTTTCACTGAACATCTGGGATCTTTTTAGTTATTTTATTACTAGTATGTTTTTCAGATTTGTCCTTTCTTTTGCATTTTTGGGATCATTGTTTTTCGATCATCTACATTTTATTTTGGAAAAGTAACAAATTGGTTCAATTTCTTTACAAAGAGCCACTCTTAGTCTCCACTTCTACAATTGCTTCAATTCCCAATTGTACTCCACAGAGTAGCAAACAACAGAAAATGAATGGATAATGATAGCTGCATCCCAATGAACAAAATGTGATTACCTAAATCGAGGTTTCATCACTTTCATTAATCTAAAATGAATTAGAATTTATTTTTCTATTTTCAAATTTCTTCCATGTGCATGTAATAAAAATTGGTTATGTCTTAGGCCCTAAGGATCTGAAACCTGCTGGTCAAAATGGAATTACGGACCAGTTGCAATGTTATTCTCCTATACCCAGTGAAAAAATCAACTGGTCTGTATCAAAAATAACCTGATAATGACCAGCGGACCGGCCTTTAGGGGCTACATTGTAATGTGCTGGGAGGTTTAGGCTACAGGGTTTATACCGAGGGAAATATGTGGGGGACCGTATTGGCATCATTGGTTTCAATGCATTGTACTTCTGCCTTAGTTTCAAAGGCAATAAATTCTTTTTGAAGGGTGTCCTGAGATTCCAAAATTAAGAAATAATTGTACTTATTTGAGAAATTGATTTTAAAGTTTTATAAATTGAATTTTCTTTATTTTATTAAAGGAATATTCCTTGCCAAACCATCTCTCTCCTCATATGGTAGCTATAACCATATAATATGCTTGCCATGTTTAGCAAAACACGCAAAAATGTTTTGATATGGTCAAATTTGATCACTTAGAAATGTGATGCTCAATTCCAGTAAGCTGCCATCTTTTAAAATTTCACACAGGAAGTGATGTCATCGACTCACAACTTTGCATATAGCATTAGGTGAGGAGATATTAAGAATTACAAAACCAGCTAAATATTCTTTTTCAACTTTGTATCTTATTTAATCCTTCTGAAAATATCTTCTTTTATTCTAAGTTGACAAGCCATGAAAATATTTTTGCACAGAAGTAATGATCACTTGTCTAGAAGTGATTTTTTGCTACTTTCCTATACTGTTATGGGCAAGGTTATAGAAGTTCAGAGTTAATGACATCACTTCCTGCAAGAAATCTTAAAAGATGGCAGCTCACTGGAAATAAGCACTAGATTTTTAAATGATCAATATTGACCATATTAAAACATTTTCCAATGTTTTGCTAAATATGGAAACTATATATGATTATAGCTACCATATCAAGAGAGAAAGGGTCTGGCAAGGAATAATCCTTTAAATAATATTCTTTGGTTTTTGAAGACTTTTTTACAAAGCAAAACATTATTTTTCATTCTAGATACAATAACATGCATATTGGCATACTGTACGCCCGGTATTATTCGCGAGCTTTAATTTCGCGAATTTTGCGAAAACACGGTTTCGCGGCTATTAAATTTCGCGAATACTGTATTTTATCGTATTCGGGGATTCCCCAGTATATGATGTCCAATCAAATTGCAGGCTACGATCACGTGAACAATCGTGCACACGTGCGCTTTCATTGCCGCGCATGCGCATAGTAAAGTCATGGAGTTGCACAGTACTATTGAAGTACTATAACTCGATCCAAACTAGTAGATAAAACGAAATGCATCAGAGCCCCGGGTAAAAACAAATTCCCGGGGATTTAATTTGCAATTTCGCGACGATAATTTTTCGCGATTTTAACACCCTCGTGAAAAGCGCGAAAGTTAATCGCACGCGAATAATACCGGGCGTACAGTACTTTGTTTTAATATAAGATTGTTATAAATCCAAGTTTTGCAAGTCACATGACCAATTCTTAGAGAGTTGATTGGATGAAACAGTTGATATCAGATATGACAATTTGAAATTGGAAAAAAGCTGTTATTCCGGTGGGAAATTGTATCAACTCCATTTCCATAGTTTTAAAAAAGGATCTTGTAAATTGTTTCAAGGTATGATATTTCATATAGGATATCTCTAGGGTGAGACCAGGTGACATACAAAAAATCAAGTTTCACATAGCAATACTAAGTAAGATACAGACCTCTAAACTTTCAAACCTTGATTTCTCAGTTCCGTAAAAATGTGAGATAGTACAAAGTTATTCTCATGCGACGATTTATAGTTACTATTTGTCATTATGGACACAAATTCCACTATATTTGTACGTTTCGGGAAGGAGAAAATAGAGTACTCAATTCACTGAGGTTTTGCAGTAATTAGATCCTAGATTCTATGAAATTGAATTGAAAACATTTCCCCAATTGGCCAAAGATTTTCAATCTATGACTGAGTTTAGGATAGGCCTAACGCTTAGAATAGACGAAAGTTTACCTTGTTTAAAGTTCGTTTCATGTCTCTGTATGCTTCTCCACGTCTCTGTTTGTTCTTTATGCTTGAAATATTGGGGGCAGGGAGGGAATTCTCCCCTTCTTCAGACTTCACATATTTTTCCATTTTCGCCATGCTTGGATTTTGCTAAACAGTAACACGTTGAAAGTTTATAGTTGCTAATTTCAGATTTAAATCTATTATGAATTATTCTGATGAGATAATTGATAATGGTATAAATGTAAATACTTGGAATGATAAGTCAACAAAAGTTAAAATTCACAATAAAGTTATCTGAGATTGATTAAAAACACTACGGTGTTTGTAGTCTAAACTTTCTTCATCTTACTGTATTCTACCCACAATTCTCTTATTTACTGATTCAGCTTCCGGGATGGAAGAGAAAACTAAAAAAGTTTTACTTTTTCTTGTTTTTCTCCATGTTGCATGGGGGTTTCTCGATTTCGAAGAACTTGAAAATGTGCATTATGGCATAAGTATACTAAATGAACCAAAACTTTTGAATGAGGTAGGTAAAGGCTTTGATTAGATGCGTTTCAATATTTTTGCAATTTTTCATTTCTAAACTTTAGTTTCGTCCAGTGCAAACTCACAAGAACCAGTCTTCTAATATATCCAGATCCTATCCTATATATGCTATGTGCTGGATATTCACAAAGGTAAATCCCCTATCATCCACAATTACGCCATCCTAGGGGGAAACCTTAGTCGGTAACACATATCCCATACCTAGGTATTGACATCTCGAATGACTTCCGCTGGATTACACATATTCAAAGTAGAGTCTATTGTATCCAAAGCCAATAAAGTGCTTCGATTCCTCAAGCGTGACCTCCATCAATGCTCTGAAAAAGTGAAGGCCCATGCATATAAGTCACTAGTCCGGCCAAATTTAGAATATGCCAGTTCGGCACACAACTGACTATACTGACAAAAAGACATTGATATGTTGGAACAGCAACAAGCCTGCACTACTGGTAAAGAGGGGTGATGTCAACGCAGTAGCCTGACAGTCGCCCCAGGATATTTCAACATAAAGGGACTTCCTAGGGGGGTACAGGGGCCAACCAGGAAGATTCCTTTCAATTTTAAAATGAGTTGTAAACCATAGATCTATTTTTAAATGTTAAGGTTTTAAATTATATTCTATTCAAATTCTATCACTGTTAAATTATATATCTGCTTTATATGGGCTTATTAGCCTTTTGCAGATTATTGACATAGACATAGGAACAGGTACACTGAAGATATCATATCAATATTTATTTCAAGTCGGATATTTTTTGTACAATAAACATTAGTGCAAGTGCTATTGACCGACATAGCACTATTCCCAGGTCAAAATAATAGCATACATATTCAGGGTAATCATTAGCTAATGATTATGAAACAAATAGGTAACAAATAGTACAGCAATTTGACATGCAAATGAGATAATCATTCAGGGTAATCATTAGCTAATGATTGTGAATTTAATGAAACACTGATTTCTTTCTTCGTTAATCATTCAGTAATTATTCAGAAACAAATAGTTAATTATTCAGAAACAAATCAATAATTATTCAGAAACAAATCGGTAATTATTCAGAAAGAAACCGTTAATTATTCAGAAACAAATCGTTAATTATTCAGTCATTATTCAGGTTATCTGACTCATTTTCTTCTTTATCAAGACCCTGTTGCCTCTCCTGGAGCTGTCTTGTATTATTCTGACTAATACATGTTCATATAGAGGTGACATATACTCCAAATTAATTTATATTTATCTGCTCAGAAACCTAGGGCTAAAATGAGTGTTTGTGCCCATGTATGGGGAACAACCCAAAATTGATCAATTCAAAAAAAATATCTTGAATTCAAATTCATTAGAATAGTAGAGATAAATATGAATAAGTTTCAATCTAAACATGTTCTGCATACCTTTATGATTATGTTGATCAAGTTTCAAGATAGTCTAGCCACCCTTCAGGTTGTTTATGCTCACTTTTATTAGACAAATAATTCTCTCACATCTTAACCAAATTTTAACGTCTGCCAATGTGGGGTTTCTCATTCTAAATCATGGACTTTTAGGTAATCATTCAGAAACAAATCGTTAATCACTCAGTAACAATTCGGAATAAAAAATTCCAAGTTAATCATTCAGAAACAAATCTTTAATTATTCAGTAACTATTCAGATAATTAATCATTCAGAAACAATTCAGTTGATTATTCAGAAACTAATCAGACGTTGCTTTTAAATTCTTCAGGTTTTCTGATTAATTCCTGAAGGATTCAATAATCATTAGCTAATGATTATGAAATGATTTTTGTGACATAGAGCAGCCAGATTTGTAATCGAATGTCACTCAAGGGAACCAGGCTGCGTCAAAGCTCTCCAAGACCTACAGTGGGAGTCTCTGAAGCAGCGTAGAGAGGCTGCTAGACTTTTTATTTTTTTACAAAGGAAAGCAGAACCTAGCAGCCATCGAAGTGCCTCCATACTTCCACTAACAGATCAATACCAACACTAGGTTGTATCATCCTTCTAAGTTCATACAACCATCAACTAGAATGGATGCATACAAATTTAGCTTCAAATTTGATTGATCCAAATTGATTTAACTACTTCTGAATATTTACTTGAATACAAAATAAATTGTATTTAATAAATAGGAAGATGGATTCAATATAATTGAAAAAATTCTGAGGTATCATAATTCAGCTTAATTACCATATATATTATGAAAATGAACAAAATAAGACAGCGCTTGACCTAAGAAAATGCTCTTCAGAATTATCATTCCTTCCATTTAATAGATGGGCTAAATTGGCAATTTCATGTGATTGTAACTAATGTGATGTCAATGATGTCCATGTTAAACAGGAATTAAAAAACGGTGATAGAGAAGTTTAAATATGCACACATTAATTGTAAACATACTCAAGACTCAATAAAAGACTTATGAAATAAAGAAATGAAACATGTCAATGTTTCCCTTATAATTCTTCTTATTAAGAAAAAAAGAATTGAAATATTTGATCAAGTATATGAGCGAAAAGTATTTAAGGTTTAAGATGTGGACATGTCCAAAATTGTCAGTTTTTCAAAGTCATTGCCAAATAGCAATTATCTTAAAAGAGTCAGAATTGATAGACCTCAAACAGGTTTAGCATGACAGGGAATCTCCAGAATATTAAAAAAAATCATGAACATTTTCAGGAACTTTTTTATTTGTTGCCCCTTTTATGTTACAGGAGGTAGATGGATCTGTATTCCTGGCATCAATGTATGGCCAGCCATATCAATGTATCTACAGAGACCTTGTATCAGAGGAGAAGAAGGAGAAGACGGAAGAAGCTGAGGCACTGGAGATAGGAATTCCAGAGTTACTGAGGCCTATGGAGGGAAGCCCATGCCTCGTTTTTGTAAGTCGGAGAGATTTAAGCATTAAGTTTTTATTATCACACTTGGAAATGCTATATTTTCATTGTCTCGTGCAGATGAGTATGCCTCTGGATCGACTCCATATATTAAATCTTGTTTTTTAAATAAATTAATCATTCTTTCATTCCTTCTGACAAAATCAAGCGATGTAACATCGATACATGAATAATTAAACAACTTCAATAATTGTCATATCCAATATACAGTGTTTTGAATAATTTACAGACTAAAGGCTGGTGGACCTATGAGTTCTGCTACAGAAAGCACATCAGACAGTATCACATGGAAGGTATGTCTTAGGCAGCTGTAGTAGGTGTTATATATAACATGTAAAGTGTCACCAATAGAGGCTTTACTCTCATTGAAGTCTTGTTTTTAATGACAATTTAGGAGATTAATAATGACTTCTTTTAGACGAAAATTGATTTTGACAGTTTTTGAGCATCATTCTCATTAATTGTAATGCTTACAACTATGTAAATTTAAGTATTGTATGTTACTGCTCTGTTATTGACGTTTTCGCGAGTTAGTTTTGAGCTTCATTTCAAACATACATCTATTTTGGGAAACATTTCTAATTTTGACTAAATTTTGAAGCTTATATTGGACTAATCATTATCCTCTCTCCTCCCTTTAAAATCAGTATTAACTCTATACTGTATAACTAGTGGTCCCGCGATTCATTATTGTTTATTTCAATACAAGCAACGATATTTACCTCACGATACAATACAAACGATACAAGCAATGTAAGAGCGTAACAAATATTTTTATTTTTAAAAAACATATGGGTAAATAAGACATTAAGATGCCAAATGTACCAACCACCGAATTTCGAACTCGTGAAACAGTATGAAACTATTAATGTCCTCCTAAAACTAATGTTCACTAGTGTCCAGTGTCCATTCATGATTTTTTTTCATTAAGTTTTTTTCAATAAAGGAAACCGGATATCCTAAATTGGAGATACATTCTATGCCACATTACACAAGGAAAATAACAAAATGGGAAGATACAATCTTATTTAAACTGCTTTCAAACATGGTTTTGCTGTTTTGGGAGGGAAAAAACGATACAGAATTTTAACCGATATTCAAGTTAAGTATTGATACGCTCATATCATGCCTAATTGCTTGAGTGCTTGAGCAAATCCGAGCATTTGCGAGACCCCTATGTATGATACACTACTGCAGAAATGGATTGCCTTCTATCAAAACAGACCTCAATAATCTTACTTTTTTATTGGAAATTCCAAAAATACACAATAATGTCTCAAATCTATTTTAAAAGTTGTTAACATTCAATTTATCAAATTTGGAAAGGAGACATAATAGCATGTTGTAATACATGTATATTATGTGTTCAATCAGTCATTTGATCATTTTGTATTTTAGATGGGAAGCCAAAGGGAAACATCATGTACCTCGGCTACTATGAATCTGACTTTGAATGGGATTCAAACATATCTGACGATGGAACTCAAGCACGTGTATGTATTAATAAGATAACACATAAGACATGTGCTCTTAAAGGGTTCCGATAAGCATCCCGTATAAAAACAATATGGCGGCTCCAGGCGAATCAACTGGATCAGTCCATGTTTAAGAAATAAGGGGAGTTCTGTAAAATCCAGTTTATTGAAATTGTCTTTGAGATAAAGTAATCCGTTTATAATGATTTTGAAAACGTTATCCATAGAGTGATTGCGTTCAAACAGTACATGTACAACAGCCAATATAAATCCTTGTATTAGAACTGCTTTGTTTCATTTGTAGGATATTTCATATGCCAAGCTGTGTGCTATAACGTTATGGGGAAATTTAGATGCCAATTTTTCCTTATTATACACAAATAGAAGATCCTGAAACTTCACCCATAAATTTGGAATTGATTTGTCAAAATAAAAATCACCCTTTTATAAATGTGTGACGATCTATAATATACTTATGCTATATAACAGTTAGAGGTGTTGACACAACGACCTCGAACCTGTGAACCCTTGAGTATTATTCCGGGATCGGGCCTTTTATACTAAGCGGTGAGCAACACCAGAAACGAGCGTTCGATTTGCTAAACGATATGCGTCACCCTTTAAATCTATCATTTCAGGATTTTCTAAGTACTCTGTCCTCCTTATATGAATTTTAAAGTCACTTGATATTTAGATTACTTAAATTCATCTTTGGACCAAAGTACAGTAATAACTGTCAAAAACTGTTCTTATGTGATGAAACACCCCCATTATAAAGACACGTTCAATGGAACATTTATCAATCAATATCCTTGTTGGTGTACCAAAGGTGTTCCACTCACACATGTTTTACTGTAGATGATTTCTCAGAAGCCTTTCGATGCACTTGTTACTGTCTATGTATTGTCTGTTCTTTTTCCAGTCTAAAAGACGTAACAAATTGAACAAGTACCACAGCCAACAGTATGTGAATGGCTCCAAATGTGACCTAACTAGCAAGCCCAGAGAGGTGGAAGTTAGGGTAAGATTTAAAAGTGTAATGACCCGAGGGCGCTATAACTAGCGAGCATAGTGTAACAATTCAGGTTAAGAAATTGAAAGAAAGTGTGCTAAATTCAATGAGTGGGAATCGAACCTAGGACCCTTGGACCTAAAGTCTGATGCTCTACCGACTGAGCTATAAAGGCTCAAGCCACTACAGCTGGACTGTAGTAGCAACATGCTATCAAGGGTCGTTACAAAAGTATATTGTGCAGTTTTAACTCAGCCTTGTGGAGATGAGGTGTGTACGGGGTGGGAGGGGGTGTACTGTTACAAGGGCTTGAACCAAGACTTTTTATGACAATCCCATGCTGGTAATGGTATTGAAAATATTAAATCATGCGTTGAAAACAATTGATTGTTTTGTCAATTATGACATACATGTAGTTCACAGTTACATATGTATATATATATCCATACATTTCAAAATGTAATGCAAGTAGAGATGGTCAAGTAGAGGCAGTGTTCCTTGGAGGGAGACAATGGCTTAAAGCTAGTCAGACCTCTTTAAAGAAGAATATTGTTTGAAAACATATAAGCTTAAAGAGATGTAATTTGTTTCTTGTTAAATTTCATATTCAATCATATTCCCCTACATTATTTTACAGTTTATATGCAATGCTGGGGAGGGTGACTATATTCTGAGGGTAGATGAGCCAGAGACTTGTATCTACACTATAACAGTGAGCACCACCAAGATATGCCACCACCCATACCTGAAACCACCTCCCACAAACAAACCTGTGCCAATTGAGTGCAATCCTGTCCTAAACAAACAGCAGTTTGCTGTCTATCTGCAAGAAAAAGAAGGTATTGTTTCTTTGGATCATGCTTTAGATAATGTTGTAATTTTGAACATGAAAATCACATACAAAATGTACTGTTTTAATTACTTACAATTCTTATGTTAATGGACCAAAAGTTTCAAGGAAAATTGTATTTTCAACAGAAAAGTGAAAAACTAGTTTGTGTTTTGTGGTATAAAACTTGTTTAAACATGAATAAATTTACATCTTCTTTCATTTTTTCCTTATATTAACCTTTTTTGGTTTCATTAATTTTGAAATACAGATAGAGGAAAAGAGATTAAAATACAAATCATTTAAAAGGTTGTCATGTCATTGCTTTACAGAGGAAAGAGTTAGATTGGAAGAAGAAATGAAGAGACTTGAAGAAGAGAAGATAAGGAAAGCTGAAGAAGCTATGCAAAAACTGAAAGATGAAAAACTATTAGCAGGTACACTTTCTTCTTGTACAACTTGTTCTTTTTATTTCTTTTTATACTTTTTATAATTTTTTCTGATTATACGGCAGCAACATATCAATAATTTTGTATTCTGTTGTGTAGGTAGACTTCCAACAGAGTGTAGCTTGCCCAAGGATAGTGGTCCATGTAGAGCACTGTTCAGACGCTGGTATTACGACTCTGAAATCAGTCAGTGCCAGCCTTTTATCTACGGTGGATGCAAGGGAAATGGAAACAATTTTGAAACTCAGCAGCTGTGTCGAGAAAAGTGTGATATAAAACAACGTGAGTATTGCTAGTTGATTGAATAAATTAGGCAATTGTTGATATCAAGAAAATCCAATGTTAATCCTTCTTAGACTGACAGAATATTTAAGATTCATATTAAATATAACACTTTCGCACTTTATCTTATCAAATTAAGTTAGTGTGGCCTTCTTTTTTTTATTAGATGTTTCTGGTAAACCCATCTCAATAGTCACTTACTCTACGCCCGGTATTTTTTGCGTGCGATTTAGTTTTATCAAAATATGACAATGGGTAGGTCTTATTACTGTAGATAAGGTAAATTAGTTTACAGATCTTGAGGATCCAGAGAATAATGGAATTTAAAACTTTGAAATCCGCGAAATTTAATGGCCGGGAAATTGGTATTTCTCAAAATTCGCGAAATTAAAACTCGCGGAAAATACCGGGCGTACAGTATATTGTGTGTCTGTCATGTAATATCATCATAGAAAGAAAGAAGTTCAAATAAAATAGAATCTATGTTTCTTGTATTTAAAGTTTAATTAAAGTTTTTTATACTTGATGAAGTATGTTTTGATGCCTGATCAAGTTGTTATATTGCAATTATTTGTTTTAGAAATGGCAAGCAATAAAAACAGTCCTTTAGATGAAAGCTTGAACTTTGAATCATTTGGTGAGTTTGGTAGATCCAAAGAATTTTCCTCAACCGTAGATGCTCTAACAAAAGCTTTTACAGAGGGTCTTAGAAGTAGTGTGAAAGATATGATAGGGGATGTGGAAGGTTTTGGTAGGCAATTTATTTTTATTTATCACTGGATACAAATCAATATTACCATCTGACTTGCACTTTTCTGGAACTCATTTCATTATAATTGTCTGGGTTACCATTGTTAAAGGGACTAAAAGGAAGAGAGACGAGATGGGATTAAGTTTTAACAAAATTGCCTCAATTTTACTACATGTATATGTTTTGCTCTCATGGCTTAATAGTCCAACATCCAACTAAGTCCAAACATTAAAATTGGGACATTTTTAGGTATTTTGAATTTACTGGAATAATCCTATATTTATATAGTCCAGAATGGATATTCAATTATTGAACATATTAAACCTAATTGAATGGCTCCCTTTAATTTATGATCTTGTACAATGTATTGGCATTGTATTGTTTTGTGTCCAGTCTTTACCTTGGTTTGCTTATAGATAGCTAACACAATGTACATGTATTTCCAATATGGCTTAAAATGTGGGCTTTAGTAATTAGTATTAGTTTTAGAATTCATAGACATCCTGGGTAAACAGCATTTGTGATAATAGACTGGTTAAGTAAATGTTGAAACTTAATGACCCTAAATTACCTTGATAATGACTTTTTAATGTTCACTTTGAAAGCTAATGTATGAGAGTGACAGATCTCTATTTATTGGGGTTTGCATTGTTTTCATAGTTTATCTACATCTTTATTTTAAAGGCACATACATAGTACATATTCATACATTTATACCACCCTAAGAGCTTTATATGATTGTATAATAGCATTGTATAACTGGAATATAAAACCAACACTCATCGTATACAACTCTTGAGAACGATATACAACTCCTGGATAGGTATACAACTGCTGAATTTAGATTAATCTTTTATTGATTAAAGATTAGGGTGGGATAATAAGATCATATAATGGTTGATTCTGTATATCGTTATACTCTCGTGAGTAATATGATATATTCACTTGTTCCCTTCGGTCACTCGTGAATATATCATATACTCACTTGAGAGTCTTGAGTATAAACACGATATACGGAATCAACCATTATATAACCTCATAGTACAAAATGGACACATGTACACAAGATCCACCCATATACTGATACTAAAATGTAGTGGATAATTTGATTTCTTTTAGATCAAGATTTATTGGAACCAGATGTGCAGATTGAAGATGTCAAAATGGTTGGAGACCCTAAGGACATTGATAAAGTTATCAAAGAGGCACTTGAAACTGCTAAAAACCAACAGAAATCTACTCCTGGTTCACAAAAAACTAAAGTCCCCAAAGGACCTGTTGAGTCAGAGAACGTGAAAAATACTCCGCAAAGTGGAACAGTATTGGATGATGTGGAGAATGAAGCCATTGATGGTGATACCAGTTTAGATGCTGAAGATGAGGAGGACGAGGATGATGATGAATTCTTAGATGACTTTGATGGGGGTATGTGCTCATATTTATCATGTGATCCCTAACTTTCTCTGATGCTTGTTGAATAACACCAGGAGAAGTTATATTCATCTATATTTACTAGTCATTCTGTTTATTATTACATTTGAATATTTTTTTAGTCCTCACTTTTAGCTATATTGTCCCTTATGCCTAACGTATGCCTATTGGGCAAAGTGCACGTGCCCCATGAAGCCTCACTGAGTCCCATGAGACTTGATAGTTCCAAGGGATTTCCCTCATTTTGTCCCACAGAGTTCAATTGAGTCCATTGGCCAGGGCTGCAAAGCTCCATTGGGTCCCATTGAATCTGCAATGCTACAGTCAAAACAGAAATGTTTGTGACTACTTTGAATTTAAAAAATAAGCAATCAAATGACCATATTGAAACAGTTTATGTAAAAATAGAAATATTTATATTGATCCTAACTTTTGTATATTTCAGATAGTAATGTATAATGTGCAGCAAAGCTGTGGCCTTTTGTAATTTAGGGAGTTTCAGCCATGTTAATTTTTCCGAAAATAACATGGCAGAGAAGTATCAAAATATAAGATGACACAGATATGATAGCTAAACTACAAATAAACTAAAATATACAAAAGTTAGGATAAATATAAATGTTTCTATTTTTACATAAACTGTTTCAATAGTACCCCGGACAGGTTGTATGATGCAGTCGTTTTTTTACTCTATATTTGCAATAGAACAACCATTCTTATTAAAATTTTCATATTTTATTTTAGAGACAATTTCCAACATGGAAAAAAAATATTTTAAAGAAATTCCTAATTTTATGATTTTGATAGGCTTTTTTCAAAAACACTCCACTGTCGATAAAATACAGGTTTCGCTTGAACAATTAAACTTTTAACGTCATTTCAAAGATTGTCTATTATTGAATTTTTGGCAGCCTAAAGTCTTTCCAGATGTATTTGATGCCATATTAATTATGGCTGATTATTGTTATTCATTTTTGTCATATTCAATAGGCCTAATATTATTACAGTGCATTAGGCCAATGAAAAACTTGTCACTCTAGGTCACGTTTCCTCTGAAAACGCACCTTTTTCTCCACTGGGTTTTTCCGCCACTGTCACTCAGCATGCAAGCCCGTGGCATGTAAATTGTACCATGCTTTTAAAATGCTAGGTCTCCCTGACAATTTCATGATAAAATTTGACACAGCTATATTAACATCTCTGAAGGATCTTATGCCAAGAATACTTGAAATTGGAGATTCGTAATGTTTTACTTCATTTTGGACAGTATTGAACAGTTCGATCGGGTTGAACTCATGTCCGTGGACAAGAAGATTGACCTCCTCTATCTGGGCTCAATCTAGGGAACGCTTCACAAAACGAGACCCAGAGCTACAAGTTTTTATTGGCCTAATGCACTGTAATAATATTGAATATGACTCAAGTGAATAACAATGATCAGCCATAATTATTAATATGGCAACATATATATCTGGAAAGACATAGATGGCCGAAAATTCAATAGCCAGTCAATATTTGAAATGACGTTAAAAGTTTAATTGTTCAAGCAAAAACCCGTATTTTATTGACAGTGTAGTGTTTTTGAAAAAAGCCCGTCAAAATCATAAAATTGGGAATTTCGTTAAAATATTTTTTTTCCATGTTGGAAATTGTCTCCAGAATAAAATATGAAAATTTTAATAAGAATGGTTGTTCTATTGCAAATATAGAGTAAAAAAATGACTGCATCATACAACCTGTCCGGGGTACTATGGTCATTTGATTGCTTATTTTAAAAATTCAAAGTAGTCACAAACATTTCTGTTTTGACTATAGTTCTATGAATGGCCCACAATACTCTATTTGTGTACATTTAGAATGAACCTCATTTTAAATCCCTCTAAGTAAATAACATCAATATTCAGCATGTTCATAATAAATCCCATAATCTTTATGCATGTAGCAGTGCATGGCAGAAAATTGTAATTCATTCAGCTGGTTAGCCTCGCAATGTGCATTTAATTCTGTTCATAATACCACTTCACTACTGTTGTAATACTGTATATGTTGGATAACATAATAGCTTAATGATAATAACATTTCGATTCATTCTGAATGTTGATTGGTGGAATATGATACTGACGAGTGTGGACCATGTAAATCATAGTCTTTGTTAATACATTCATTTGTAAAAACCATTGAATCTCACTTATGCAGATGAGTATGAGGATGATGACGAATATTATGAAGAAGATGGTGAGGACAATGGTTATGTTGGAGAGTATGAAAATGATGATAGTATTATTGATGAATTTGAAGAAGGTATTGAACCTAGGGATAGGGTTTCTTGATATGCTTGCTTTGTGTGGCTTTTTGATTTCACATTTTTTAATCTTCTGTGATGCCTTGCAACCAAAAGTCCCATTCAGAGATTTTCAGCTTCCATGTTTTGTTTTCTCTCTCACTTGGCAGGACCTATACTATGCTTTTTGTCAACACATGTATGCACACTGTCAGTGTCACTGCCATTGATGTTGTACATTGTATACCTTGTTGATATTGTATTTATATTATGTATGTTATTTTTATCATCCCACAGAACAAAGTTTGAGGGGGATATAGGAAAGCCATCCGTCCATCCGTCCGTTCGTCTGTCTGTCCCGGCAATAACTCAAATACTGATTGACGGATTTGACTCAGATTTTATAGGCTTATGCCTTATGGTTGTAGGACCTCTGCTGGAGAAGGAATTTTTAATATGGCGGCTCAAATTAAAATGGCCGCCATTATTCGTAAAAAATGAAACCTATGATAACTCAATTACTAGTGGACGGATTTGGTTCCAATTTTATATGCTGATGTGGAGGAACAGAGGAGCTTTTATTCAAGAAGAATTTTTTCAAGATGGCTGCTGATTTCCAAAATGGCCACCATTTTTTGCAAGAAAACGTTATCTTTGATAACTCAAATACCAGTAAACGGATTTCATCCAAATTTTATATGCTGATGCCTAGGGACACAGTTGCTATGTTCTAGAAAACATTTTCAAGATGGTGGCTGAATTTCAAAATATTTGATAACTCAAAAACCAGTGAATGGATTTAGTTCAAATTTTATATGCTGAAGCCAAGGGACACTGTTGCTCTGTTCGAGAATCAATTTTCAAGATGGCATCTGAATTTCAAAATGGCCACCACTTTTCCCCAAAAATCCTTGGTAACTCAAAAACCAGTGAACAAATTTGGTTTAAATTTTAGAACCTGATATGCTCTGTTCAAGAAGGAGTTTACAAGATGGCCACTAATTATCAAAATGTGTTTTGTTCAATGGGATTTGGTCCTCCTCGGAGTTGCTGTTTTTCTTGTATATTTTATAATTATACTTTTATTTATTAATTTCTGTAATTCTTTAAGTAATTTCAAATTCTGCTTTGTCAATCTGTCTGGTCAAACACTGTTACGTGGGTTCATTTTGCACCCCCTTTCCTTTGAATTTAGTGATTTGAAGAATTTGCCAATTTACATCCCCACTCCAAGGAATTTGCTCTTTTCCACTGAAATATTTTTCGAGGTCTCCTCTGCCGAAGGCAGCGCAAAGTAGGAGCATAGCGACTACTTTGCGGGAGACCTCGAACCATTGATCACGTTTGCTCCTGTAATTATTCACTTCTTCACCTCTTTAAAATGTGATTTCAATCAGTTGATCAAAATTTCGGACTTTGACCTCAAATTCAAATATTAATATTTATAAAACAAAATACTGACTCATTATTATATTTTTAAAAGTCTTTCAAATAAAGTGAAATGAAGCCAAAATCAGCTAAAATTATGCAATGTCGTAAAATGGCGTGACTGGAATATGATGCAATCACCCGTGACATCAGACACGTATTGCCACATCAACAACTAAACAAACAATATAGACTTCACTGATTGGTTTAAAGATTCTTCGCATCATTTGTGACGTCATAAACATGTTACCCAACCAACAACTAAACAAATAACAAATAGGCATATAGGTACGTTCAGTGCCACGCTGTTGAATCAGTTATAAACAGGGATAATCAACAGATATATGAGAGGGTCAGGCATTTTTTGACTTGGAGACCTCGAATCGAGGAGTTTGCTGCATTTTCTTGTTTAGGAAATCATGTCTATTGTAGATAATCTATGGAAAACGCAACAGTCGAATTACTTGTCTAAAATGTTGGGCATTGAATTCAATAATTGAAATATTCACGAATGTGGTCTATACCAGGCCCGTAGCCAGGGGGGGTTCGCAGGGTTCGGGCGAACCCCCCCCCCTGGCAAAAAATTCTTTCAAAATCATGCAGTTTTTCACGATTTTGAGCATTTCTCAAGTGATTTTAGCCATATTTGGGCCAAAATTGTCAGATGTGAACCCCCCCCCCCCCGGAAATTTTTGAAAACTGAACCCCCCTTATGGGCCTGTATACAAATGCAAAAAATGAAATATATTAGATACATGTAGTGTCAAATTAATCCAAGTTACAGTTTAATTAAAGATGACATCATCCATTTAATCTTATGGAATATTTAAACCCATTGCTACAAATCTTCCTGGGCCTCACCTCATTTGGCTTAAAGTAGTTGTTTACCGCCATGTTTTCTAGCTTTAAGTAAAAAACAAAGTTGGTGACACCAACATTTTTTGTTTGATATATGAGGCATAATTATGTCATGGTCATGTTAATATAAAAATACATGCATTCTGTCGTAAAGTAACTTTTAGCCCTCCCAGTAAACAATCACTTGTGCAATAATTGTGTGCACTTTACACTCTGCAAACTGCCTCTTGGCTTTTGTGATTACATGTAGTACAACTGCTGCAAAAGTCATATCCTTACTTTACAGAACATGTATGTGTAAACATGTGAGCTGCCATAGAAAGTAAAATATTTCAAAGATTAAAAGATGATACCACCAGTACCCACCCCACAAAACTCTCATTTTTCATTCTACATGGGCTCAAAATGATGTACCATTTAGATTCAGAATTTAATTTTATGATATTACATCAAATATATACATCCGATATATTGATATTGCATCTAGCCTATGAATAATAAGTTGATAACCCAAACACCATTCACAAGATGCATCTATATACTGTGGAGTCTATTTTATTTTAGATTACAATAAGATAGCAGACAATAAGGAGAAGAGGGTAGCCATTGGGGCACAGAAAGCTAAGATTAAAGATGCCATGACTGCCAAGTTTGGAGATATAATCAAGGAGGTAATAATATCAAATTAGAATCAATAAACATATTTTGACATATTTAGAACTTAGTTTATTTTATTTACCAGGATTTTCATCTTTTCTGAAGTTTTAAGGTCATATCATAATCTGTATTTCAACAACATCATTTAGTTGTATAAGGGAGTTTTGCAATTTGGAAATATTTTATAAATCAAGAAACTTGCTTGTTTTTCCATTGTGTATACAGGTATACTGGTACATAGCCCAACCAACACAAGTGCTGTCATCTATTTGTCTATGAATGAACAGTAATATAATAGCCTCTTATATTTTGATTGTTCACTAGGCAGAAGCAGAGGAAGGAGTGGAAGCCAATGAGGAGACAAAGGGTCATGCCTATACGCAACTTGCCAAAACATTAACAAAACTATTAGATAGACTAGAAAAAGCTGAAAAAGGTACCATCTATGGAAAACACAATTTTCCTTATATTAAGTATTAAGAGAACAATTTTAAAAAATTCAAAAGTAATACATGTACTTCCAACCTCTTTATATGGTTGCTGAAATCTATTAATTATTATCTGTACCTATTAATATCTGATGAAGTATTTTGGTATGATTGAAATTGATTCAAGATTTCTGATAGGAAGTGTTGTCACGGACTCTTAAACTTGCTTATAATAGCAGTATTAGCAACAACAAACAAAACTTGATCTTTACTTTCTGAGCAAAGAGTTCCTCAAGGCAATGTGAAGATATACAAAATTAAGACATGATCAGTTGAATTGGAATCTTAGACAATATTAACAAAATTTATCAGATGATTTTGTTCTGTAATTTGCAAATTAAGAGTTGATGACATCACTTTCTGTATTATCTTTATAAATGGCAGCCCAGTTGAAATGAACAGTTTATGAGTAATTGGTTATCAACCGAATCAAGACAGCAATGGGCTATTGCGGAATGTCCTTTTAACTAAAGTTCTTGCATCTGTTGTAAAAAATTTAGTTTTATTTTATTTCAAAAGCACATTTTCATGTACAGAAAAATAGAAGATTGAATTAGTATTAAATAGTACTACTTACAAACATCATCATTGACTTGTTGTAGATATACAGAATGTGGATGAACATATAAAAGGAGTAAAAGAAAATGATTTAGAAAAACCAGTTCAATCTACAACAAATCTTGGTAAGACACTGATCCTAGTGTTAAGTATGCATGTATTTTGTATATCTTACACTAGTAATGCATGTCCATGTATCACATCTGGTATCACATATTATCAATTAGTCTTACATTGAAGAGGGATGACAACATCTCATGGTCTCATACTTTTGTTCAAACATAAATAGCATACACATGCCTTTGTGGCATCAGCTTAGATTCTGAGAAGATTCAAGACCCAGTAATCCACTCTATGAACGTTTATAGGAATCTTTCCCATTGAAATCCTAACGGTTGATTTCACTTCCTTTACAGAGGCTGATAAGAGTAATACAGCTGCAGTAAGGGATTCTTCTACATCAGTGGCCAAACCACCAGACAAGACTAGCACAAATGATGAAGAAAATATAAAAATAAGGGTTACCAGATTAAAAGCTGGTGAATCGATGGAGGATATTAATAAAAAAGCTTCCTTGAAGATACCTGATGAGCAGAAGGAAGAGTTAGAAAACACAGTAAAAGAAGAGTTGGAAAAGGCAGGGCTGGACACGGGAGGTAAGACATTTAATACAATACTAATATATGTCTCTTCTTAAAACTGCTTATAGTGTGTATGTATAATTCATTTGCGTTTTACACATTAAGACAACTGCATTACATGTTATGTAGTTTGGTATACTGTAGAGTAGTATGCAAGTTTACTTGTTAAATTCTGCCACCATCTGTCTCGAATAAATTATTTTCTTTAAAAAGTTGCTGTTATCTTTGTAGAATAATGGGAAAGCATTTCATCGTAAAAATAATCTAAAATTCAACATAGTTTAATCACTCACCTATGTTTGGCATGAATTCAATTTTATTCCAGGTCGGCCCATTGAGATAAAGATCATTGCCACTGGTTATATGGGTGAAGATGATGAAAATGTCCATACACTATCTGGGGATGAAACTAAAGCCTTTAATAAAATGCTAGTAGCCTTTATAGTGAGTAACATTTTGTGATGTCAAAAAAAAGTTAATTTTTATCCCACAGAAAATGTCCTGTAGGGACATAGAGAAACTGTCCACCTGTCTGTCATTCTTGCGTTAGATCCATAAATCAAATATGTTTTTGGATTTGGTTCTTTATAGGCTAATGCCTTATGGGCAATTTAAAAGGGCAGCCATTTTTCATAAAAATATATTCTTTGATAAATCATATATCAGTTGACAGATTTGGGCCAGATTTTATGTGCTGATAAATTAAGAAGCTATGTTCAAGAAAAAATGGCCACCATTTTTCATGGAAAGATGTCATTTTTTGAATAGTGTTAACTATAGAGTGCTATTCACATGATCAGGTTTTACCAGCTCATATTTGAGAACATGGGTGTTTGTCTTTATATCTCTTGTACATTATTTCAGGGGGCAGGTGGTCAGGAGGCACATAAAGAGCAGAAAAGACAAGATAAAATGGAAGAGAATTACAGTTACGTTTTTGGAAAAAATAAAAAATCTCAGTCTTCACAATCAGCAACACAACCAAAAATATATGGGGGAGCATGAGAAAATATATTTTTGAGAGTGCATGTTTCAACTATCATGGTTGGGTTTAGTATTATATAGCACTTTATTTATATTTATTTTGTTTATGTTTATTGTTGTACAGTTTATTGTTTGTTAAAAGTTGATTCTGCCTTAAAGGGAGTGCAGAAATTAAAACTAAAAAAGTTCATGATACTTGGACTTATAATGCAGGATTCAAGATGCCGAAATGTTTCAATTCTGCCTTATATTTTTATGGAGGACTTGGAAGTTATTATACTTTTTCAAAATAGAATCTGAAAATTTGGGGAACTGTGCAATTTGTTGCTGTCCTGTGTTACTTTTATAAACAAGTAATGTCTTAATATCTTAATATATGTAAAATATGTACATTAAAAGAGGGTTTTTTGAATATGGTAAGATAAACCAGAAAATGGATTTAAAGTTAAAACCAAGGGCCAAAAATTTAGATGGGACACAAAAGTTCTAGTAAGGACCCAAGATTGTTTTCATCTAATGTATCTAAAGTTCCATAAAATGCCCATTTTTGGGCCCCTACAGCCTAAACTACTTGATCCACCTTAGGTGTGTGTTTGTATGTATTTTGTCAGAATTATCATTCCATTTGCAATTTATTCATTTTACTTAAGAATGCATAAAAATAATGCAACATGCAGGCAAAAATTGATTTGTCATTATTTTGTTTTTGAATCATTTCCCAAAACATTTCAAAGAATTCCAAAGTAGTTCTTTTATTTTTACTATGATTTCCATGGTTATGGCAATGAAAACTGTTTTGAGAAATTGATCTTAGATTCATTTTTCCAATTTTTATGTCAAGGTGCAAAATATCAGAGATTGATTACTGTAACAGTGCAATACACTGCTAAATATGGTGCACATGACTCAATTATCAAGTTGAATTCAACTTAGACAACCAATGATTGAGGTTGATTTTTCTTAACATGATTTAAAAATGCTGATTCTATATGTAGCAAGACTGTATTATTAAAGATGTACATAATCTGGAGGCAAGAGGTCATTCCCACCTAGATACATAATTTTTACATTTCATTATATTCAAGAGTTATTTTTATCTCATATGTTGTTATAATATTTGCTTCTTTATTAATGTTTCCTTGTGCACCCAGCAATTATTTGAATTCTTTGTATTTTAGATTAATCACACGTGTAATATCTAATTGAGAAATTATTGGTGTTTTCATTTTTTCTATTTTACTTAGTTTTCATGTACCATGTAAAGAAATTCATTGACCTGATGATTTAATGATAGCTAACATACTTGTAAGGTAGTAATATACAGGGTGACCCAAAAAAGCAGCCATCTAACTTTGGAACACTTACTACACGTTTTGAAAGCAATCAAGAAGATTCAAATAATGGGAAACACAGAGTACCCAAGTTTATAAACTTATGGTTCATATTCTATACAAGGAAGTTCATTAAGATTCCATCATATTAGAAAATTTAGAAAAAATTGCATTTTTGGGTCACCCTGTATGTGTTTTCTCCATGTGTAGATTGTTAATTACTTGACTTCGGTTTTTGAAGACAATGTGTACTTTCATGAATTGGTTAATTAATTTGTGAGAATGAAGAAAAACATTCTTCTTCTTAGGTAAAACCAACCATCATGTAAGTAACTGTAACAGTAACACTAACTGTTATTGACTAATGATTCTTCATTGTAAATCAAATGGTCTCAAATGGGAGAGTCTCTCGCAGAAAATATAGATCATTATAATTATTCCCTGATATTTCTAGAACATAGAAATTCAGCGTTTTCTTAAGATGTAATCCAAAACTGTTTCAAATAGACTAACTATTTTTCGACAAAAGGGAAACTGTGTTGTGTTACATTTTCTTCATGCAGACCTACATGTAGCTACCTTCTCTAGACACGATGATGTGATCAAGTTGGACCAGCTCAGCTTTCGTACATGAACAAAAGTATTCTTTCTCAAACAGTCTCATAGAGAACTCAAATACTATACTCTTTTATTAATTTTATTTATTTATTCAAGTATGAGGTATTACTATTTTTAACTTATTTAATATAATGTCCATTAAGCCAAAATTAAATGTATACTGTCTGTTTAAGGCTGAAGTACCCATATATGGAGAGATTGTCTTTTGACCTCATGGTGGGAACAGTAAATCAATAGAATTTTAGAATACCTAAAGATAACTGTTCTTACATGAGTCTTCACACCCCTTTGTTCTGTAAACAGTCAGCCTCAGTCATAATTGATCTACGTCAGTACGTCGACCGTATTTTTCCAAAATCGAGAGAAATATACTGCATAAATGCAGTCACATTTAATCCAAAGCAACCACACGGGGTCCGTAGCTTTCCAAAATTGAGAGAAATATATGTAGCATAAAATATAGGGGTAGGCAGTACGATGTAGATTTTCTATATCGTCTATATCGATTTTGCAAAGGTACGACTGTCGTAAAGCAAATGTGACCGAGTCTTAAAATATAGGGATAAGCAATAGGAGGTAGATTTTCTATATCGATTTTGTGAACCTACGGCCGTCATACGTCCGCCGTAGGTCAAAAGTGACTGAGGCTTTAGTGTTTACAGCAACGATGATTAAATAAAATACAAAAATACAAATAAACAGTATTTACAAGATGAATCCTCTGATCGGGGATTAAAATAGAGAACCATCACTTTTTTCCTATACAGAATAAGTGAAATAGTGAACCATCTGAGTGTTCTGATATAAGGCTGTGTATAGACTCCTGATTACACAACTGATTGTAATTAGGCACCATGTTTCTATGGTAATTTACTGAAAAATCAATCAACTTTGGTTTCAGGAGAGTATGGTTGTAGGTATGTTAGTCTCAGGTAATGTACAAGTCCTTGGATTAGCTCTCTTCATCCTTCTTGAATTTGGTTTTCAACTTTGAGAAAACCTGAAAAGACAAGAGTGAACATAGAGTATTTTCTTCACTGAACGTTTTATGCAAAAATACTCATTATTAGCATTCATGAAGAACTTGTTAATTTCTATCAATGCTTTCTCAATTTTCTTAAACTGAACATGAAGAATCATGTTGGTTTTACAATGGAGAGGAGAGTATATTATACAGAGACTCCGAGAGCCATGTACCAAAATCCAACATCGATGATCATTTTCATTCACTTTTGAACTTACCCCCTTAGCGAGGTTTTTCATTTTCTTGTAGAGCCTAATCAAGTAGAACAAGATCGCTCCGCCGATAGCTAGGAATACAACTCCAACAGCAAGAGCACCAACTCCTACATACGCAAGCACCCTGCACCAAACACAATAATATTGTACAGTATATGGAATCATGGAATTCGTTCAACAAAAATTATCACATGGAAACGTTAAATTGAAAAATAACCGATGCCCCGTCGGTCATGCTGTCGCACCCACCCTGTCCACTTTCGGTAGCTGCGTATACCGGTAGCGTAAATTTTAACACCGAATGAATAGTACCTCACGCTCATTGCCTTTTCCCCAAATCCAATTTTACATTAGGCCTAATTATCAAATGAAATGTAGGCCTACATTAATATATGAATTACACTTGGATATTTTAAAGGAAGAACAACTTCTACCTTCGCATGTTGTCAAACGATTGCAAACGCTAATGTATTTGATTTATTTCTGATAGTCAGTGACATGAATGTAGTAGTAGTATTGTGCTTCTCAAAATCAACTGAGATGATCATTTTTCTAAACGATACAGACACAATTAAAACGCAACTCCGGGAACGCAACCATGGCAGTCCTTTGGTCAAGTGTCAACAGTAATTATGTGGATAAAATGAAGCTACGTACAGGGTGGGCCAAAAGAGAAAAGTGTAAAACTATTGCTTTGGACATCATCCTAAAATCTGTTTTTGTTTTCAGAAGATTGATTTATTCCAATTCAGGCATAGTTGCAATAATGATTTTTGCATCACCTGTGAAGATATTATCGAAATCCATGAATTTTCAAAAAGATTATATCGAAATAAAGCAATATGGACGTTTTCTTGCTCACCCTGTACAAGATCCCATAAAGGTAAACATTGTAAAATATTTTACAGTTTAAAAGAAAGTCTGTTTTGAAATGTCCATACCTTTGATCACTTTCCATATCATTCCAATATTGAGCATAAAGTGCCAGGAGGACTATTCCAGCTATGAGGCCCCCGATGCCAATAAAGAGGAAACATCCTGTCACGATTCCCAAGATCTTCAGCGTCCTCTTGATCTTTGTCACTGGGTTTTCAGGCATCTTGTCAAGTGTAGAATTTCATCAATTTATACTGCACAAGGTTTCTGGTAATCACCAAGCCTGAAATGGTTGAGTAAATTGTTATTTCGTGACTTGCAAGACCGTCAATAGATAGTAAAAAATCAGTGGGTTTTTGTATACTTTAAGCAAAAACTGCTCCAAAAATCTGTTGAAAACATCCAAAACCCTTTAATATTGATTCTTAAAACAAGTTTGTAAATGAAAATGAACAAAACATGTGGTATTTTATTTGATTTGTGTGATGAATATGAAGTCTCAAAACAACAGACAGTATTCACACGTAAACCACTGGGACAGATTGTGAAGAACAACCCACAAGAGAAAATTACATATTGTTTAATAAATCCATATCAAATCATAATAAATGACACATACAAAACATACCGTATTGTATTTGTATCAAACCTCTGAGATCACAGTTGATTTTAACAAATTCTCCTTTTGTAACTTAATAATAAAATCGTTTTATTGTTATTTGTCGCATTTATGCCAAGATTGGTGTCATAGTAAAATCTCAGTTTGAATTAGTGCAGAATTTAATAATCTTCACCATCCTTGACTAAAACATTCACTTTTTGACAATTTAACTAATTATGGAATATACAGTTTCAGACTAGATGCAACACATATTGTGCATAATCCCATCGATTTTTGTTTTCTTGATGATTTTAAATAAAATCATCAAGTAAACAAAAAACGGGATTATGTAAAATATAAAACCAATATAAAATCATTTTATTGTATTGGCAAATACATGACATAATCTATGACATAAATCTTTTCTTGTTTTCATTGAGCTGATCAGATTTTCATATGGCGGTCGCTTAAAGGCCCCATATAAAGTTTAGCTTATGTTGTATTCTTACCCAATGTCATCAAAAAATAATATAATGTATTCTTCTTTTCGACCTAGTTAGCAACATTGTTATACTTTTAAATTAAGAAATTAAAAAATAAAACCATAAAAATATTTCAAAGATATTTTACACCCTAAGTAACATTACGGCGATGTCACCATTAAGTGGCACGTTAGATATGACATTGTTGCACTGTATTGGTGGAATATTTGATGATTAAAATTTTTCTCTCTGAAATTTTATTTGAAGAATGGCGGGATTTTCTTGATGAAATCTCTAAAATTACTTTAGAGGTCATAAGATAGTAAATGGATGATAAAAAAATATTTTCAAACTAAACACGAGGACTTTAAATATTTCGAGCAGATATCAAACAAACAAAACAACATTGTGTAATATTTGAATTATTTTCGAGTCACATTTAATAAGGATAAGGAGGAAAACTAACAAAATATAAGCTGCAATAGATTGACATTATTGCTTTTAGGAATTGCAAATGCATATAAGAAACAAAATTCGATGTCCACACTTGAAAATCGCAAATTGTATCTTTAGCATTTTTTCGCCATATTATTCATCTTTTACATTGAAACTTACAAAATCAAAAACCAGTTTTGCAAATTGCATTGCTCATTCAAAATAATCATGATAAATATGCAATTTCTCCATCGACAAATTGTACAAATCAACATTCAGTTTCTTCATTGATAAATTGTACATTTTTTAGCGTTTTTAAGAATTTGAAGTACGCATTGTTGTCAACATTCAATTCCAATATTGAGTCTAAAGACTTTTAAAGATAATTAATTTAATGATGCTTATGATGATGATGACTCTATCGTATTTCCCACAGCTTTTAAAGGTGCAACAATTAGTGCAGGGGAGGGGGGGGGGGGCATTCAACGATCATCGACCAGTGTCAAAATATATTTAAGTTTGGATATTTCATCAAGACTAACATTTATTTTCATGATATACTAATAAGAAACCCCCTGGATGAACATTATTTCAGCTGATATTCCATTTGAAACGTGGTGGATCTTAAAAATCTATAAGTAAGACTCCCTTTATAGAAGCTTTGAACTGAATTTACACTTTTTTATGCTGAAATTGATAGTTTATACATACATTTTAAGAAAATAGGTATCTCAAAGAAGGTGTTAAGCCAAATGTTGACCTGATAGCTCAGAAAATAAATAAAAAATCGAATTTTATCTTTACAGTCCTTGTTGCCCCTTCAAATGAACATAGGAATAATGAGAGCCATGTCCGCCAGGTCCCCATCGAGGGGAGGTTTGCTATGATAATTATACATAGTGAAAGTTAAAAGTACCAAAAAATCACTATTATCACAAGTATTCATAAGACTGGCTTCACTACTATGGCTGTAAGTGTAAACCAAAGCCGTTCAACGCTGGTCCGCAGATCTTTAACATGTTTAGCCCAGATGTATTGATCAGATCTCCTCCAAAACTGACAATGGCGATCCAGTAACTATCTTCTCATTTGCCTGATGAGGTTAAGTGTTCATAATATGAGTCAACATACTTACCCGCCAGCCTATGTTTTTCAGGGCGTCAACTTCTTACTTCATATACGAAATGTGTCTTCTAAATATTTGGCCAAATACAAGAGTACTTTTCTAGATCAGAATGATTGTGATTTCAACAAGACATTGGTCAAGGTTGTAGATTTGTGTTTCAGCATCCAACATAGAGTAAATTAGTTCCAGATCGATATGTTAACGTTTAACCTCTTCCATATCCCAAGTGTGCATTTGTGATTATTTGTACATAGGTTTATGTAGGCTGTGTGTATACACATGAGTTTTCCTCACAAGCTGCATGTATTAGGAGAGCTAGATTCCGCGTTTGATCTGTTCAAAAATAGAAAGGTTGAGCCTTACATTCTCATTTTGGTAGAACTTAAAGCACATGTCTGGAAAACGAGGTGTCGTTGGTTTGATCCTCACAAAATTTCATTCAGTGTTTTCACTAACCACTAATTTGGTAGAACCTGGACGTAAAAGTGAACTGTTATGAGTCGATGACCACCTATTTCGCCCACCTCTGCATCGACTTTAAAAGGGAACTTAAATGCAATTATTATCCTAGCACATTCACACTCAATCGGGCAAATAAAGGCTAGTGAGGTGAAAATAGTCCATAGGGAACCATAATTTTACACACGTGCACGTTCTTCAAAACGGTGCAAGCTAGACCTCCCTATTGTCAATACAATACAGCGAATATATCAGATTTGTGTACATGTGGTCCATTGTTTCAACGAAAGTGAACACCTAACGTGACTTCAATAAAGAATATAATAACTTACTTGAATATACTTGATATTCTCGGATATTTCATCATGGGTGTCTAAATGAGACTAAATGACCCATTTCCTTGGTATCTTTTCCATCGTAATAACCACTGAAATCATTATTTGAAAGTACTTTCATTAACTCTCCATTGGATTAACAAGACACACGGTGATAAATATCGCACTTTGAAGAGCAAACTGGCCACCATGCAATTTACCCAGCATGGCCAAAACCTAATCAGACCTTGGCACTAGTCTGCTCTTGCATCTGTAAACATTTCAAGTTGACAAGGTTAGCGGTTTTCCTGCAATTTTGATGACAAGAATTTATTTGTAGTCTTGAACTTTGGGAAAATTTAGATAACATTGTTTGTGACCTAATTTGATGACCTTCGACCTTGAAAATTTCACTTTTTCAGACCTCAGTAGGTGTTTTGTAATTAAGCTGACCTAAATTGAAATCCAAAATATCAATTTAGAAAATCAACTTTTTTGACCTTTTCAAGGTCACTGAAGGTGAATGAAAGGTCAAATCTGAAATCTAAGGTCAGATTTGAACTTCTGAGAACTTGTAGATGTTTTTAAAAAAAGTTTGGTCAATTTGGAGCAAGTTGAAAAATTCAAAATGGCCGCCAAATTGAAAAATTCAAAATGGCCACCATGTCATTCAGCCAGCATACCCAAAACCTAATCAGATCTTGGCAATAGTCTGCTCTTGCATCTGTAAAAATTTCAAATTGAACGGATAAGTGGTTTTCCTGGAATTTTGATGACAAGATTTGTTGAAAAATTCAAAATGGCCGCCACGTAGTTTACCCAGCATGCCCTTAACCTAATCAGATCTTGGCACTAGTCTGCTATTGCATGTGTAAAAATTTCAAGTTGAACAGGTTAGCGGTTTTCTTGGAATTTTGATGACAAGAATTTATTTGTAGTCTCAAACTTTGAGAAACTTGGATAACATCATTTGTGACCTAGTTGAATGACCCTGACCTTCGACCTTGAAAATTTCACTTTTTCAGACATCAGTAGGTCTTTTGTAATTAAGCTGACCTAAATTTAAATCCAAAATATCAATTTAGAAAATCAACTTTTTTGACCTTTTCAAGGTCACTGAAGGTGAATGAAAGGTCAAATCTGTGACCTAGTTTAATGACCTTGACCTTCGACCTTGAAAATTTCACTTTTTCAGACCTCAGTAGGTGTTTTGTAATTAAGCTGACCTAAATTTAAATCCAAAATATCAATTTAGAAAATCAACTTTTTTGATCTTTTGAAGGTCACTGAAGGTGAAGGAAAGGTCAAATCTGAAATCTAGGTCAGATTTGAACTTCTGAGAACTTGGTCAATTTGGAGCAAGTTGAAAAATTCAAAATGGCCGCCAAATTGAAAAATTCAAAATGGCCACCATGTAATTCAGCCAGCATACCCAAAACCTAATCAGATCTTGGCAATAGTCTGCTCTTGCATCTGTAAAAATTTCAAGTTGAACGGATAAGTGGTTTTCCTGGAATTTTGATGACAAGATTTGTTGAAAAATTCAAAATGGCCGCCACATAGTTTACCCAGCATGCCCTAAACCTAATCAGATCTTGGCACTAGTCTGCTATTGCATGTGTAAAAATTTCAAGTTGAACAGGTTAGCGCTTTTCTTGGAATTTTGATGACAAGAATCTATTTGTAGTCTCAAACTTTGCACTTGGATAACATCATTTGTGACCTAGTTTAATGACCTTGACCTTCGACCTTGTAAATTTCACCTTTTCAGACCTCAGTAGGTGTTTTGTAAAGCTGACCTAAATTTAAATCCAAAATATCAATTTAGAAAATAAGTGGTTTTCCTGGAATTTTGGTGACAAGATTTGTTGAAAAATTCAAAATGGCCGCCACATAGTTTACCCAGCATGCCCTTAACCTAATCAGATCTTGGTACTAGTCTGCTCTTGCATCTGTAAAAATTTCAAGTTGAACAGGTAAGCAGTTATCCTGGAAATTTGATGACAAGATTTGGTTTATGTGCCGCCCGCCCGCCCGCACGCCCGCCCGCCCAACAGCACAAGACGACGACAATATAGCACTTTTTCAAAGTGCGATAAAAATGTGAAGCACCTGCCAAAAATTAATAGGTAAAAATCTGTGTTGGAATCCTTCAAACCGGCTACGAAAACGGATGCGTTTCGGTAATAAAAGTACAAATGTGTGTTTTTTAAACATAGTACAACATGTACAATGGGAGAACTAATACACAGAGGACCATAATTATATTCATTCGCAAACGCTTAGATCTTCTTGAAATATATGATGCTGCGCCATTCTGTTACCCATTCTGTTGTCCCACAGTGAAAATGTCACAAGGTAAGTTGGTTGTAATGCAATATATTCGAAGCAATCTGAGTAGATTAGTTCTGATTTGGTAGTACATGTATTATTTGGACCTACGGATTCCAACATGCATTGAAAGAATGGTATAACTTTTCATACCTTAGTTAGATAATAGTTGATTTTGTGTATTGTACATTGTGTACTAGACATTTGGATTTGCTTAATTGTTGTAATGGTAATCAGGTTGATCAATAGCCCCACACTGGATGGTGTTAAAACCGTTGAATGCATATCTAATTTCTCAATCTACTCCCCAGATAGCACAAAGACGTCGGGCCAACGTCACTATTGGTGCCCATTGGTTGGCATGGTCGCAGTTGGCAAATTGTAGTTGGGCCAATGTTGGCCCGTCGTTGGCTGCCGCTAATACCAGGGAGCCAACAATGGCTGTACAAGAAAAGTAAATTGTGTCAACGGTGGGCCAACGTTGGTTCTTTGGTGGGTGCCAATGTTGGACCAACGTTGGCTGGCTGGACACGCCAACGTTGGCAGCCACTGTTGGCCCACTGGCCCGCATGCTGTTGGACCAACGTCGTTGTGCTATCTGGGTCAAAGCTTGGGAAGGTGTGTCCGATCCCAACCAATCCGAAGATGCTATTTCACATGACTGTATTCCATCATATAAACAATAACCAAGTCAAGGTCACTAATTAAACGGTTGTCAAGGCGACAACTGGACTCTACAATTGAAATTGATACTTTGCCAACTTGACCCTTGCAAAAGGTTTCACTGAAAATATGTTCTTTTAGTGATTTCGTATCTTTTAGATGATTTGTAGAAAAATATTTTGCAATATGTGAAAGAATCTAAGCCCAAGACCCAATGAATTGTCTAATGACCAATCCTTTCAGGCATTGTTTCCTAAAATTGACACTCGATGCTCAGCACCTGGTGCAAATTTTGGAAGGCAATACCTTCAAAGAATGGTCATTCCACATTGCACGAGTCCAGGGCTCAAATTCTTAAAAAATACATGAATATTTTACATACAAAATGTTTGTATATTTTGGATTACTTGTAGTTTAGCTAACAAATTTGTGACCGTTTGTATTTTGATGCTTTTGACATGCCATTTTCGAAAAAATCTCAAGAGGCCCCAGGTTGTCTGTGCATAAAACTAATTTATCTGTATTCTTATTTTTCAGCTTTAGTACTAGTAGAGTTACAATTTCACGACCTTGCACTGTATAAGTGAATCAGAAAACTACTTTTTGAAGAAAGATGTAAGTAAAACAGCTTCTCAGGCCTCTATACCATCAAATTCACTGAGAGATACAGTGCTTAAAGCAACAGGACTCATTAGGATTTACTAATGTAAAACGTTGCATTCACATGACAAAATTCAGCACAAAACTAACTAAAATTTGTTTAATCTGAATACTTGTAGGAGTTAATTGTGATGTTTTTCTATGAATAAAACAAAGAATTTAAACTCCTCTCAACTTCAACCTATTTGTCACCATGGAAACAGTCTACAAGATATGATCAAAAATATATTCAAAAAGTTTGAGGCTATAACAATATGTCACCACTTCTTTGAAATAATAAAGTTGAGAAGTTTGACTGGAACACCTTTTACTAGAACGAGCTCAAAGATTTCTCATCTGCCAAGAGTTATAAATTGTTTTTGTGGATATAGAGCTATGGAATAGTTTCATGGTAGAACAGGGGGAGGAAACATATTTTGTAACATGGGGCATATATGGTTCATACAGATTACACATGCATTGTGGATGTAAAAAAGTAAGACTAATCAATTATCTGCAGATATCAGAATCTCATTTATTTCTGTTTGAGCTATCAACATGATCATCTTTGTCCAAGAGCTGCTTTTACAAATTTATTTGCTCATTATCACCATCAGCAAATATGTTGACTTTTGATATATTAAAGTATGATGGCCAAATTATGTCAAATATTGATATATGTATTTATT